ACAGACACCTGGAGACGATGATGATGGTCCATAATATAGCAAAGATATGATATATGAAACTCTTTCATATAGGAAAAGGATCATTGAGCTCATCTCAAGCAAGCAAGACACGAGGGGAGACGGAGGATAAGACTGTCAGCGTATCTACCGATCGATATCAGACGATACTGGGATTGGTATGGGAATTTGATTCCCCACTCTCGTTGTCAGTGATCTCGAGGCCCTGAGAAGATTTCGCGACCAGCCTCAGTACCGGTGATACCAGCGTGTCTCCCGATATAAGACGTCCTGGTGGTCGACAACAACATCTCTCCCACTCTTGCTGTCTCTTGCTGTTGACAATTTCGGTGCCTTGGAAGCTTCACAATCAGCCTCAAACTCCTACACTACAGCTCAATCGAGTACTATACCAAAGAGTTGGAGCGACGCGTGCAAAGGTACGGGATAGGATGCATCACATCCTCCATGCAGTTTCGCTGAGGATTTTAGAGCGAAGTGGCTGTAGGTACTTCGGGCATCTTGGATATCTTGGTCCACTGTCCTCGTACCGGCCCAAGCTCCATATGTTATCAAGAGAAACGAAATTGTAACCTTGGTAATTCACAAATATAGTAGATATAGATGTTATTTTAAGAATGAGCACTTTGAAGAAAAGGAGGCGAAGGCCTTTTTCGTTGCCTCAAAGTCCCTTTCTAGCCGAGCTTTCTCATCTATCCCATATTACCAACATAAGGGAGGCGCAGAGATGGGGAGAATCCGCGAGTATAAAGGAATGTGCACAGGAACGTGTGAAGACGAACGTGCGTACCTTGTGCAATTTGTAGAGATGAAGGCTTTATAGTAATTCTCATGAAGTTTCTTGTGGGATGATTTTCGAAAGGCTTCAGGGCTTGGTGATGATAGTGGAGACGATGGATGATGCTTAGCCCATTTTCAAAGCCACATGGCTCGCTAACCAGATGGAGATGGAGATGATTTCTTGGTGTGGGGGTGAAGAAAAAGAGGTACCAAGACGAGGCGGATATGGAGCCTCGAAGGAGAACACGGCGACCCATAAGCCCAAGGCCAATGGATTGGATCGGCGCGCGAAAACCGAAGCTATTGAAATGTTGATTAATTAGTTTCAATTTCTGCAAGACTAATATGTGTGAATGTCCAAAAATAACACTACATTAGGAGCATGATATGTTGCTAATTAAGGATAAATGTGACAGATGTGCTGGTAAGAGAGATCAAGTGATAGGTGAGAAATGGCACATAATTATTGATAATAAGCGCTTGATTTGTACCATTAATAGTAATAGGATATTTGTGTGATAGGGGAAGGAATGTATTGGATGTGATGTAAAGGATGGGCTCGCTCGGGTGAGAAGTGAAAAGGAGCTTGGACCATTATGCTACTTGCTGTACATTCATTTTCATAATTGACCAACATCTAGGATTCTTAATTCTTACTAGGTCGGCCTGTTGTTATACTACCGTGACCTACAGAAAAATACCCTTACCTGCCGATTATCATCATTTATTCCCAGGATCAATTATGAGGTTACATCCGAGCAATCCTCATCTCGCATTTGCATGCTTCCCCTTGTAGTCTTGGCCACCTCCACTCTACTGTATCATTCCCGCTACTTGTATATTCAACCCTCCACTCTCCACTCTCCACTCCTCCTCCACTCAGTCAAGCTCGAGTCGAGATAATTTGCTTGAATCTTTACGCAAAAGAGGTTCACCGCTGATGATCATGAATATAGGGATGTAGAGATGGATGTAACGGCGGAGCGATGAAGAAGTCCATAGAATTGGGCAAAATTCGGGGGATCATTATTCATTATTCTGATCAAATATATTTTACATATCCTGAACAACCAGATCGTTATAATAAATACAGGTTGCGGAAGAATTAGCTAGCCCATGCTCAAATACTTATTACAGTACTACCTTGCACAGGTAGTGAAGTGTATTGCGGGGTGAAAGGTAGTATCGAAAGAACCTGCCTAGACCGTAATTATCCTAATCATCCTAGCTTATCTACTTGTACATATCTACATATCAGTTTATCGGAATCCGGAATCCCTGATAGTTTTTTCTCCTCGATATTATCAGCCGTACTTGCCCATTTCTCCCAATCAACCTTCATTGAGTCAACCATAGACCGGTACATAATTTCCTCCCTTTCATACATCAGCAGCTAGCTTCATCTTCGCTCCCAATGAATGCATACACTTGATCATCTCGTGCTGCTAATTTCATGTGGAATAAAGCTTGAACCAATAAATTAACTAGTAGTACTGCCAATATTTTAGACAATTTCTTTAACACTAGTCGATAGTAGTAAATGTCAACCGTTGGCTACGGGTAAAGCCGCTCTCGTTCGCTAATGCAACTCATCACACTTTATTCAACGACATCTTCGAATCACATTCATCAATCCATCCTCCAATTCCCATCCCACGAAAATCATCAAAGTGAACCAGGGAATCAAAAAATTCGGATATTTCAAATGGCTGCATTCTATCACCCTGTCGTGATCGATTTCCGCCCAATCTTACTTACTTGACCGCTATTTGATACAATATTTCTTTTCAGAATCAGAATATTGAATGGAGTGTACACTGTACCGGTACCGGTACGTACTGTAATCTCCATCCGTCATTTATTCATTTATCTCGTGATGTCGGATATCCATTCACCGCTGAATGAAGAGAATTTCACGAAATCACAATGCCGTCGACCGTTGTAGAAAGGCATTTTAACAAGTTTGGTTGGATAATGAAAGTAAGCACGGGATTGCGGCAGAAGGTGAGAAGTACAAGTACGAGTACTCTGTAGGGTTCATATCGAACTCTTCTGGACTGGGGTAAAAAGAGGAATATCGCTGCGGATAAGAGGGCATCGATTTAAAATGCACCGGCACTGTTGATCCGCAAGTGGACGAATGCAACCCTCGAGAAAAAGGCACGCTTTAGGAAGGTATTGTTATTATGCAATGTATACATTGTACTACTTATTTTGAGAAGTGGGGGGACATTGAACACTTCTACGTAGGTACTGTACCTATTGGTATTGCCTCTTTTGGGCTTTTGTCAGGCTGACAAAATGGACAAGATGTACAAGATGTACAAATAGGACGATTAAAGCAATCTACCTTCATGTACATGGGTATTTATCGCGAAATGGCGAAATGCAGGTGTCCTGCAGAAAAGAAGCATAGACGACAATATCTCTGTTCACCTGTTGCACAAAGAGCAGCTACCCATGTTCGAGGTTTTCGAGTAACAAGCAATTTGTAAGAAAAGGTGGACAAATCAAGAAAGCCTGACTTGCAGAGATAAAAAGGAAACTCAAATTATCTATATGTCTACCTATCACACAGCACAGCTGACCCTCTTTGTCGATCATCGACCTAGAACCTTAAAATCATATGAGAACGGCCTTTATGATTACTGTGTATCTTCACAGATCAAGAAAAGACGAATACATGGATCCTTACAGTGGATAATAGCTATATTTATGTGTTATTGTGCGATATGCGATTTGTTATCGTTTTCACCGATCCCTCGTGCTGGTTGAGTGGTTATTCGGAGGTCAAACAAGCAAGCAAGCAAGCACCAGAAATGGAGCAGGATAGCTAGGGGGCCCGATCAGAGCAGGCTGCATAAAAGGCGCCTTGCGAAAATAGCACAATCGCCATCTTTTTACCGCTGAGTTTCCCCACTGGCTAGCCATACCTGTTCCTTAACCGACCCATAAAAGTTCAGTGTAATAGCTTTCATTGCAAGGGGACGAAAGACAAGGGCCACGGAGGAGGTGTGGGATCAAATACAGCTAGGTTGTCTGTGGGTACTGCATTTGTTTGTGGAACTAGCCCCAAAGTATGAATTATGATCTTTTCAGCCAATAACAATTTTTGAATTTATCCATAATAGTCAGTTGGAAATACATCCTAATGTTCCTTTAGGCTCGTGAAGCTAGTCTTGCTTAACTGCATGCCACCACTTTCTGTACTAGCCCTTTCTTCCCCCTGACGTTTTTATTCCTAAGCCTAGTGCACCCACCTTCTTCTGCCCACCTTTCACTCACCAATCCTTAACGGGAAGTTTCCTATATTCGGACCTAGACGATATTCGTTCTCTCATAGGGCCAAAATTGACACCAACTGGTAGCCGCACGTGTGCATGTACGTTCGTGGGCGGGAATATGGGCTAAGGTAGGTAAATGCAGGAAAAATAGCATCACTCCATTCGGTATCCAGAAATAGATTTTTCAATTATTCCATGGCTGAAGATGATTATGTACAGTTTTTGGCATCTTCATATATAGGTCGTCAACATGCAACCATTACCTACTTCTTCACTGAGGCTCTCGTACATTCAAAAGGTCAACATCATAGTCCCTCCCTCCCCGCATCACCGTCGTTAGATTGTTGTCTCTTCCTAATTCAACATCTACCACCCACATATCCATTCATTTAACTCGAGGTCAAGCTGGACTTGATTTGAGCCGACACTCATTAATTTCATCTGTCCCCGGTCTCGCCAATCACCTACGCTACTAACCCCAGTCTCTCATCGCAATATCACGCACTTAGAACCGAACTCAACTCTCGCCGCCCCCACTATTATCTACTGCTGGTACAGTACAAATGTCAACCCAACCCCCCAACGCTCAATCAGCAAACAGAACGACGAACGTCAACATGGCCGTCGCTCAACCTAAATCAAAGGCACCCAAAGCTGCTCCAGCTACAAAAGGAAAGATGCAAATGCATAGACGATCAAGGACAGGTTCGTTCGACTTTAATTTATCTCAATCCGCCTTTCTTTCCTTGATCTTCCTTGTCGTCGGACTTTATATACTGACCCTAGCTATCAAGGTTGCTACACATGTAGATTAAGAAGAAAGAAGTGTGATGAAGGCGCTAGTGCTTGCAGTGCTTGTAAGCATCTCGGTCTACGATGTGAATACAAGAGACCTAGTTGGTGGGGAAACAATGAGTTGCGCCGCCAGCAAAAAGAGGTTATCAAGACCATTATCAAGAGGAAGAAGCTCACAGAAAAGACAACCGCACCATCCCAAGCCCAGACACATCAAGTTATGTCATCAAGTATCGATACCCCTCCTGGACTTTCACACTCTCTACCTACCTCTGCAACTTACTCCGATTCCTTGGACCGCACTCGATCAGAATCAATTGATTCTCAATTATCTCTCTTTGATTTCACTGCACCTCCAATGACCATGACTGATTATACCGCCTACAATGCGCAAATGCACTCATCACATTCTCAATACGCACCGATGTATCCTGAATATTCACCTTATGAGATCGATGTCAAAACGGAAAGACAAATGTTCGTCAATGATGTTCCCACTCGTCGCGAATCAACCATTTCGACCTTTAGCACTTTCCATCCACCACCACCACCCGAGGCGATGTTGCCATCATTCCCAATCGATCACGAATGGGACACGGTCTACAACGAGCGACATGAAATATTGGCAGAGGAAGCATTGAACATGAATCTTTTCGATTTCTCACACGGTCCACCATCAGCACTCCGCCAAGTCGCCATTGAGTTAGACGAGGGTGATCAAAGACTCCTCGACCACTTTGTCTCCGACGTTTTACCTTCCGTCTTCCCAATCCTCGAGACTAATCAACATGGTTCCGCACGATCGGATTACATTCTCCCAGCACTCCAGAGCAACAAGTGCTACCTGCACTGCTGTCTTAGCATTTCTGCTCAACATTTCAAATCCACCATGAACATTCAAGGTGACCAAATTGATAATGATATCATGCGCCACCGCTATGCAACAATCTCCGAGCTTTGCGAAGCTCTCAATCGCGACACAGATCACGTATCAATATTGGAAGCCACTCTGGGAATGATCTTCTTTCAATGCTCAGTAGGTCGATTTGACGACTCTCTACCAGACATTCCATGGCATCAACATTTCCAAGCTGCCATCTCTCTTGTTCAGAAACTTGAATTGCCTCGTTTAGTCACCGAATCGCATGATTTGATGTCCTTCAACATGACTTTGACTGCTTGGATTGATATCCTCGGTTCCACCATCCAAGGCCGCGCACCAACGTTTGCTCACACTTACAGAGAAAAGCATTTGTCGCAAACCAACTCATCTCTTGGGTTGAGAGAGCTCATGGGCTGTGAAGATCGCGTTTTGTATCTTATCTCCGAAATTGCTTGCTTAGAGGCTCTCAAGAATGATGGCATGGATGATATTCAACTTTGCCATCATGTGCATGCCCTAGGCGACCAAATCGGTCTCACAGAGATTGGCGAAAGTGGACCCAGATATCCATACAGTCATGGAGTATTGAGCCCAAAGCAATTGAGCCGAAACATGACCGCGGCTTTCCGTCTCGCGGCTCGCATTTACCTTTGCAGTCTCGTCCCTGGTTTTTCGCCCAGTCAAGATAGCTGTGTCGGTTTGGTTGCAAAGCTTACCCAAGCTCTTGAATTCATTCCAGCTGGACCAATGGGTTTCGACCGCAGTCTCGTGTGGGTCTACCTCATTGGAGGTTCTGTCAGCACCGCCAACTCTCCCTTCCGTCAACACTTTGGCGAGCGCTTCGCTGCTCTTGGTGATCTCGCCAATCACGGAAGCTTCGGTCGTGTATCTACACTTCTCACGGAAGTTTGGGGCCATGTTGATGGTCGCTTCAGTCCTGGTGGTGGTGAAGCACACTATGTCTCCTGGAGAGATGTAATGCAGATGAAGGGCTGGGATTTCTTGTTGATCTAGTCCCCAGCCTGAGTATTTTCTACCGGTTGGGAAATTCACGAAAACTTCATTCCTGCAGTGCTACGATACGAACTCAAATGTATCTGTTCATCACGCTGGGCATTGAGCCCATTATCAACCCGATTTCTAGCTACTAGACTGGGCGCCAGACGAGAGAAGATTTCCACGAGACACGGAGTTAAGATTCCCAGAGTCACAATTTATCGAGATCAATGATACAATAGATTGCAGCAATGTACGAGGAGAAGGACAAAGAAGACGAGAGATGCATAACCAGGATTCAAGATTTTCATTCTAATTTTTCATACTATCGATAATTTCGACATTATCATTATCATTTGGCATACCCCATTTTTCTCGATTACAACGGCGTTACGGCAGATGAGCCAGATATGTGTTTGGAAACACGAGATTACTGAAGTAGGGCATTCGGAGAGGAGGAAATACCAGCAATAGGCGTTTAGAGGCATTGTTTTTTTTAACCACATACCATACCATCGGTCGCAGCTCTTAGAGGCTATAGGACCAAAATTAACTTTCGATCACTTATGTATATTATCGCCCTTGGGATTGGATGGATAGGAGAGAATAGGGTAGGGCTATGCGAGCCATGGGCTGGAAGGGGTCGCTTCTCTTTCTACTGCCACGTTTCTATACCCCTTTTTGAGGACGAAGGATTGAAGATGCTTCCTTGGATTGTTAGGGTATATAGGGTTTAGGGTTTATTTGCATATGGGTTGAGCGCTCAGGCTGCTCCCCGATTTAGGATAGGATGGGAGAGGATAGGCTTTGGAATATGCAATATGCAATAGGCCAAGAAAAAAATACAAAATCAAATCAAATCAAATCAGAATTCAACCAAAGTAACAAACTACTATTTTAGCATGCTTTGTAAGTATCAAAGTGACAGTCTGCAGTTAGAACTCCGAAACCGCAAATGCAGCCATACCGGTAGTCTTTCCCTGGAAAATATGTGCATAACGATATGCTGGTTCAAATTCTCAGAAACTCCAATTATCTATATCTAATATAAGCGCTGTTTGTGTACCGGATTATTATAGTACTGTATACATATAGATATAGATATAGATGGGGCTTGACAAACGACCGAATGGACGGACGAACGGAAGACCCCAATGATGACCGCATGGGTGTTTGGGCTTTGCTTAGGCTAAGGCGGGCCAGGTACATAACATATGTCGGCTTATGTAAAGGCAGGTACTGATCGGCATTTGTTGTTCTTTTGTGGTTGTGGTTGTGGTTTGTGTGAGGAGGGAAATGGAGGGTATTGGGAATGGAAATGAAATGGAACTAGTTAGAACTAGAACTAGAATTAGAATTAGATGGATTTCTGCATTCGTTTTGGGAGGGAGGTGGGTTCACCGCTTCAACATGTCTTGTGTGTATGAGTACCTACCTATAGGTACTATTATAGAATACCCGGTGTATATGCAATGGAAAAATGCTGTGGTTGTATTCTTATCGTTTGGCCTTTATACCATACCATAACTGTACAATATATTTTGCTTTATCTTACAGTACCACCTATTTCCCTACCAGTTCCGAAATCTCCTCTTGGAACCCAATACTATACATATTCTAGACTCTAGTATATCATAGTACATACATATCACCAACGGAATATATCGCTACTACCCCTTCCTATTTTTCCTCTTCCAAAATCCCGGTGAAGATAATTCTCTCTATCTTTGGGAAGTTTTTGTTGCATGTCTGTCGGTTTGAATCGGAGGAGGAATACTCTGTACTTATCGTCGCTGCGTTTGCAATTCGTGAAAATGGTGAGAGGGGGGGTGGAATATCGTGTGTGGGGTTGTGCTGTCATGTAGCGTGATGTTCGGGTGCTGTGATCGGCGTCCGCCGCTAATATATGGAGTTCTCGGGGAGTGGTAGATGTTGGGTTTTCGTGAGACGGGTTTTGTTTTACTGCATTGTGCGGAGATCGAAGGGAAGGAGGAGGGAAAGAAGGATGGAAGGACTAATGGGTGAGTGAAAATGTATTGTGTAGATACTGTACACGATTTTGGGTATGATTGTGTGAAATTGGGTTAGGGTTAGGAATACAATATTCAGAGAGTATAGATACGCTGTAGCAATCGGATAAGCACTCTGTTGTGATAATCGAATTATGTGATGCTCAAGTAATTGAGCACTGCTGTTCTACCACGCAACTTCAAATGTACATGTATTCAATTTATCCTCCATACTCTATTGTGTTCATGCATCAGCTTCGTGAAGCAATGCGGGGAATGCTACAGCATGTTGTAGCCGCGAGTCGTCACTGCTGTGCCATGGTAATACTCGTAGAGTTTTGATGCTTTTTCTGGTGCATTTTAATCCAGGGAATTTTCCATCTTCTCAAGACCTAGAACGAACGATAACGATGGTACTACCAGTAGTAGCACCATTTTTTATGCATATATAATCACGTCCAGTTATGCAGCTTTTATCGAGGGAAACTTTTGAACACGTTTCATAAAAGATATACAATATCCTCGAATTCAATTGTGACAAGTTTCTTCATTCAATACCATTCAAATAATTTTGTTGGTGTCATTTGCTTTGGTCTTTCTTTATCTCTTCCCTCTTCCCCTTCATCAGCGACAGCGAAGCGAGGACACCACACTTGTCTTGTTCAGCCGCAGCCTAGGTCACCGTCACCGTCACTCTTCCGTTTGTAACATCATTAATTCATTGCATTATTCCTCAACTCCACTTTAAGAAGCCCGAACGAACCCAGCGCGTCAATTTCCCTTCTTACCCAATCAATTTCTTCAAACGACCATTTACCACTCATTCGCGCCAATTCTTCAACAACAAATCTTTCCTCGGCGCTTGACAACTTCTCAATCTCCAATTGCTTCAAGATCAAGAGACTGTACTACCTCATTGGCCAATGAATCATTTCTGAAAATTCTCTAGGTCCCGCCTTCGGTACATTTCTAAACCAATGGTTGATTTTCACATTGCGAGCCGCTGTTGTGAGGACCAGTGCTCTGATTTGCATGTTCTATTCGAAGGTACACGGTCGACGCGTGAGTGGCCATGTAGACATGGGCATGGGGTATCAAAGGAAAACAAATGGACGACGACCTTTTGGCTCTTGTGAATAACGTGTTCCGAAGCAGAAGAAGTTTCTTACAAAAAGCCATATGACGAGAGCTAGGTGGTGATCAGGTAGGGAACGGGAACAAAGGAAGGTTTAGTCTATCTTCATATTCAGAAACTTCCCTCTCGTTTCTGGATCTTTGACTTTTATTGTTCGTTATCGCACGTGGAAATAGAACTTTGATTCTAAATTTATCTTTCTTTGTTTCCTTTTCATATTTACAAATCGTCCTCGTCGCCATCTACTTTTTTTTTAAAAGCCTACACACTTTACATTGACTCTTCTTGTATCTTCTGCTTCTACTTCTCATACATTCATTCATACTATTGATACTTTTAGATTCGGTTGTTCGAGCGCCACATTCATTACTTCAAGCATATATACTACGATTTGACACGATCTCAAAGAATAAGTAGCTTTATAAATGATTGGACCTATGAGGCAGATTCGGATCAACAAGCACTCGTTGTTGACGGCTGCTTGTCTTTTCGGCGCAACTTTTGCTCAAGCAAGCAATATTTTCGAGCGAGCAACATGTCCAGAGTCGAGTTATGTACAATGTACGAACACGGGGCTACCTTCAGACTTTTGTTGTCCTTCTACCTCGACTTGTATATCTTTGGCACAAAATACCACCTTATTATGCTGTCCTAGTGGGAGCGATTGCAGCACTATTCAACCTATTACTTGCGATGTAACTCAGCAGAATATCACTGCACATCCTGAAAATACACTCAAAACTACAGCTTTGAAAGAAACTTTGGAAAAATGTGGCAGCAATTGCTGTCCATTTGGATACACTTGCGTGAATGGCAACTGCAACATGAATGCCGATCAAGCGGAGTCCGTCCCGGGTCAACAACAGAGTTCTGCGGTGAGCAGTGTAACATCATCTATAGCCACGAGCTCAAGCACAAAAGCAACCTCTACAGCAAATACCCCATCATCCACTATTACCCCTTTGTCTACCTCAGCGACATCTTCAACCAGCACACCTATCACTATCATCCCAAAGACATCCGAAAAATTTCCCATCGATGCAATCCTCGTGGGTTTCTTTCCCGGCCTCGCTCTAGGGGTCCTCCTCGCCCTCCTCGGCGTATGCTGCATCGGCCGCCGCAAAGCATCCCACCGCAAAAGCGGCTCTTCATTCGGAAACATATCCGACCCCGTCCCCACCAGCGATGTCCGCACCGATTTCCTGCGTAAAATGCCTCAGACCCCCTCAACATTCGCAAGCGGAACCCCTCGAAGACAAAAAACCATCACACGTGTTCGATCACTATTCCGCAAATCCACCGCCACCGGAATGACTAACAGTCCACGCATGCCATATCAAAATAGTCCGCCCCCGGCACCACCCATCCCACTAAACATCCAGAGACAAAAACCAACAGTCGTATCCGGAGACCGACCCGTTACCCCGCCATTGCAGCGCGAACCGAGTTATGAGGATATAAATATCTTCACCGATGCCGATACCGCGAGTTCTTTTCGAGAACAACAACAACTGCAACACCAACAGCATAAACAGAATATAAATCAACTAGGGGTTCCACCCGCATTTTTGGGACAGGAAAGAGGGAATCGTCAGACGACTTTTACGGATATGATGGAGAGGAGTGGGTTGGCGGGGTTGCAGAAGGGTCAACGTACGTATCAGCTTCTTCACGATAATTTGTCAAAACAAGAGGAGTGGAAAGATAGGGATGAGTAGGGATGGCGTTTGATTTTCTTGACTTTTGAGGTGATGTTGGCTAATTTGATTTTTGGGGCGAAAAGCGTATGTTTATCGGGGGAGTGAGACGGCGTATACGCCGAGTCCGCCACAAAGGGAGAGGATGGGGAAGGAATGATTGGGGGGTATGTATGGGTATGTATTGTAGAGGATATTATGGGTTGGTTGTGGTGTTACAGTATGGGAGGCATGGTTTATAAAAAGAGGTTGGGTTGCATTTGGATGGCGAAATGGACAATTTTATCTGCGAAAATCCGGCGGGAGGGTCGGTTGGATGGGGTGCGATAGAATGACTACTCTAATATCCCTTTTGGAAATTGTATATAGATTGCAAGTCCCCGGTTTTAGATAGTGTACCCTTCTCTTTTCCACGCAATACGTAGCACAATATATTGATTCTTCTTAATTTCCCATTTCTCTGTCTGTAAAAACAAGTACCGGTAGTCATCTTTGGAAATTCGTTTTAAACGTTCATGGGTCATAATGTCGCCGGGAAACCTAACGTCTACGTGACGTCTCTCGACTATCTCATAGCATGAATACGCTGATATTATCTGAGCACTGGCACAGTGCTAGTACCGTGACGTGATGTGTAATCTAGAAATGATGGTAAGCGAGGGAGAGAGGGAGAGAGGGAGGGAGGAAGAGAGGAGAGAGACACAATTTCGAGAACACGTTCTAATCATTTACCTATATACTACTACTACTACTACTACTACTACTACTACTATGAGATCCTAAATATCTACTCGTAGAAACCAATGTATATCTATCAGCAGAAAAAAAAACAATCATCTAATATAACCACACATCTAAGCCAACAACGAAAGCACCCAGATTCCTCAAGCACCGAGTAACTAACTCGTGATTCTTGATGGAAAGAGTTTACATGTTAGTTAGTTAGTTACTTGACTAATCACCCAAACCCTTTCGAATTATTTGTGATGTGATGATATATACTCGAGTAATTCTTGTTCACATATCTTCTCATCTCATCTCATCTCAGTATACGTATTTTCTCATCCCATCTCACCAATTCGAGGAATCAGCTCAGTAGTACATTTTCATGTTGAATTTGATGCATGTTTATTGATGATATCAAGACAGATATGTCTGAATGTGATGCTTGGCATCCCTGCTTTCATGATGATAATGATTTAAATCTTTCCTTGGCTTTATTTAGACTCGCTGGGTGTGGAGATCTGAAGTCAATGGGGGTGGTAATATATACAAGACTAGTTATATGAGAGAGAGAGAGAGAGAGAGAGCACTAAGAAAAATACATCTTTCTGCCATGTGATTATCAAACTTTGCAACTTTGTGAAAAGTTCGCATTCGGGTGAAGAAAGACTCATCACGGCTTGCGAGGGTATTGCAAAAATATGAAGTAGAAAGCTCGTATTTTGGCCCATCTCCAATTTGGTTCCACTGTGCCTACAAGGAAGAGAAAAGGCATGCCGTTTGAGGAATTGAATATTTCCATCAGGGAAATTGACACAGAATGATTGAGTATTCCACGCGTTGGACGCAGTACTTCCTCACCAACTGAGCTATAAACAGTAGTATTTTGGTCTCCCATCTTATGTTCCACACTTCTAAATGCAGTTCTATCGAGACCTCATACATATACTACATCAAATGCCTTGAACGCCATCTCCCAGATATACCACAGTGTAACTTCCTCCGCCTCACTGCTCAAACTTTGCAGGCGAGTAGGCGTTTCCCTTTAAGCCTGCGTGATCTGCCACCCCAGCCCAGTCAATGACACGCCACCAATTCTCAACAAACACTTTCTTTCCTCCAACGTCGTCAGCCCCCATTCCGTAGTCTGCGATCCATACGTGCTCCCATGTGTTGACGCAAAGAATCGGCGTGAGCTCGATTCCTCCTGGTGGCTTCCTAATTTTGCTCAATGGCCCATGTGCTCCAACTGTGTTTACAGGTGGCTCCGTCAACTTTTGCGTGAAGTAATCGGTCTTATTGTTAAAACTCTCGGTGTTCATATCCTTCGCCTGTCTTCTGTAGTGTGCGCCAGCGAATGGTGAACCTGCTAGATATGTGGTCATCATCGAAAGTTGGTCGAATCTGTCCTTCACTAACCACACAAATCCGGGCCCGAACATTTTACTTGCTGTAACGACGAATTCCATTTTGAGGGAATCGACAGATGTAAAAGAGTTCTCGATGGCGGCTTTAAGCCTGGGTTGAATGACGGGCGTGTCCACGGGTTGTGGTTGAAGGCCGTCGAAGAAGAAGTTATTGTTGAATGCCATTGATGCATAGTTGAAAGTCGCCGCCTGATCTGGATCTCGCGCACACATGATGGCAATTTCTTTGGGTGATTGTCCTTCGAGGTGAGCCTTTCCTTTATGATTGTTAGTGAAGATTATACCATGGGAAACACAGCAGCAGCTCCAAGGCACTCATATCTTGCCCTTCCATAGGAAAACGCCGATTCGCAGATTGCATGGCTCTTACACCGACTGCAAAGTAACTGACATAACAAGAAATAACCCACCTGCTGTTGCCTTGCTCAAGTTGTCCACCATCAGCTGTTGATAATTAGTCCATGAGAGTTGGAAAGCTCCTGGCCCCATGAATTCAGCAATGCCTTGTGTGTAATCATGTCTCAATGGAGGCATATGTTGTGAAAAACTCCTAGTGAAGTTCTTCTTCGCAAAAAGCCCTATCCTTGGGAAGCGTGAGCGGAACATATTTGGAGGGGTGATGGCTTCTAAATATCTAGGAGATACTTCGCGATCCAAAAAATTGTATGGAAGCCCGCAAAGCCCGCAATTTTGGTTCGTGCCTCAGGCTTCAAAATATCCTTAATGCAGCGGAACTGCAGCCGAGGGCAGCGGCCAACTCCGCTATCCTATCGATGTATTGATGCGGGAAGACCCAAAACATTACACGCATTACATATCCAATATAATATTCACTATCTGCGTTGTTGAGAATGAACAGTCAAATTAATTCCTGGAAGTCTTTCACTTTGATTTTGCATCCCCCTTGATCGGCCCAGGAAGTGAGATTTGTTAGTGACGTTTGTATCGCGTGAGCATGGCAGAACATAATGGGGAGTACAATAAGGAGGTGGAAGAACTTAGGGAGCATGAATATCCAATGCTCAAAGGTAATCCAATATCTCAGATATATATGTGCTAGGCTGATAGACTTTCTAGACGCCGTTTACCTTGATCATGCTGGCACAACCCTCTACTCGAAGTCACTTTTGGAGAGATATATGGTGGATATGATGTCAAATTTATACGGGAATCCGCATTCAGCCTCAACATCCTCTCAGTTGTCGACTTCGCGCATCGAGAATACTCGCCTGAGTGTCTTACGATTCTTTAATGCCGATCCGGCGGACTTCGATATAGTATTTGTAGCAAATGCCACGGCTGGAATCAAGCTTGTTATGGACGCATTCAGAGGTCAACCAGGTGGGTTCATGTATGGGTATCACCAAGACTCGCATACTAGTCTTGTCGGGGTGCGAGAGGATGCTACTTCAAGCCGCTGTCTCGATGATGAGGCCGTAGAAAGTTGGTTATCCGGATCAGAACATCCTATAACAAAGAAACATGATTCTAAGGTTGGTCTTTTTGCATATCCAGCGCAATCGAACCTAGATGGTCGACGATTACCATTATCATGGCCAGAAATGGTGCGAGGTCTTAGTTATCAAGCTCGATCAACCAGATATACATTACTGGATGCCTCTGCTCTAGTTTCTACTTCTCCACTAGACCTGAGTGATGCTAGCAAGGCAGCAGATTTTACGGTCCTTAGTTTCTACAAAATATTTGGATTCCCTGATCTCGGTGCACTGATCGTGCGTAAAGATTCTGGAGCGATACTTCAAACGAGAAAATACTTTGGAGGTGGCACTGTTGAAGTCGTAGTGTGTCTGAAAGAGCAATGGCATGCTCCAAAAGGACAGGCTTTGCATGAAACTTTAGAGGATGGCACTCTACCTTTTCACAATATCATAGCACTGGAAGCCGCAATAGATGTCCACAGATCGTTGTATGGTTCTATGGAGCGCATTGCAAACCATACCACATTCCTTGCACGAAAGCTGTACGAAGGTCTAAAATCATTACGACATGCTAATTCCGAACCTGTGTGCACAATTTATTCTTGTGGCTTCTCCAACGAAACTTCCTCAGAGGTGCAAGGACCCACGATAGCTTTCAACGTTAAAACCAGTTTTGGGGCGTGGGTGACTAATGTCGAATTTGAGAGGTTGGCTTCTATAAGAAATTACCATATTCGAACGGGCGGTCTTTGTAATCCTGGTGGTGTTGCATCTGCATTGGATCTACAACCGTGGGAGACGAAGAGAAATTTCTCGGCTGGTCTACGATGTGGTGGAGAGACCGATGTCTATGCGGGTAAGATTACAGGGGTGATTCGTGTGAGCTTAGGAGCCATGAGTACGATGAGCGATATTGAATCGTTTCTTTTATTTGTGGAAGAGTTTTTCGTGGACCAGACAGTAATCGCCCCTACTGACGAGGATATTACAACTTCCAAGTTGGTTGACATGTATGTCGAAAGTCTTACAATCTACCCGATCAAGAGTTGTGGTGGTTTTGAGGTCCCGAAGGAAGCCGCCTGGGAAGTCAAGCCAGAAGGCCTTTCTTGGGATCGCGAATGGTGCCTTATTCATCAAGGTACGGGGCAAGCTTTAAGTCAAAAACGCTACCCTCGAATGGCTCTTATCAAACCAACAATTGACTTTGATTTGGGGTTGCTAAAAATTAAATATCGAGGGTCAAATTCCCCCATTTTAGTAGATGAGATCAATGTCCCCTTATCATCTGATCCGAAGTTCTACCAGACTCCAAATTACATACACTCATTATCGTCGAGGGTTTGCGGAGATGCTATTGTGGCACGAACTTACTCTAGTCATGAGATTAATGATTTCTTCTCCAAAATCTTGGGGGTATCTTGTGCTTTGGCAAGATTCCCTGCAGGCGGAAGCGGTCCTTCTTCAAGACATGCAAAGGCTCACATGCAGCAGCATCAACAACCCAAACGTCCTGCCACGAATGATGAATTGGGCCGTAACTCTTTCCTTGGCCCTTCCACACCACCAGATTCTGACAGCGAAAGCCGAAAACGGCCAATATTGCTATCAAACGAAAGCCCCATACTTGCAATCAATAGGTCTAGTATCAATGTCCTAAATGAAGAGATAGCAAAGAGTGGCGGAAAGCTTGCTTTAGCATCTGTCTTTCGAGGAAATATTGTACTAGCTTCAACCAAATCCACTGATCATCAGCAGCCATATGGCGAGGATCATTGGAGTACCCTACGCATTGGTTCAGAAACGTATCAGATGTTAGGGTCTTGTCGACGTTGTCATATGATATGTGTTGACCAGGATACTGCGGAAAAGAACGAAGAGCCCTTCGTCACTTTGGCAAAGACACGAAGGTTTGAATCCAAGGTTTTCTTTGGCTCTCATATGTGTCATGTACCATCCTTGTTGCCCTACAAGGAGCACCAATTTCCAGTCATCAAAGTGGGAGACAAAGTCTCAATTGGGCTATAATCAGTAAAATATGTCCAACATAATGAATTGATATTTATTTACGAATATAATGTGATGTGATGTGACACATTTCAATTGTCGAGCAAACATCCCAAGCACACATACTCTTTACCACCGATTACATATATTTTATACTATTAGTAGATACGTTTTTCAGTTAATATTAGTATTCTTCATAAGTCCAAAGGTAATCAACCCCCCAATATCTCTTGCTGGTTTTGTTGACCTTCTCATTCTCCGAGGTATAAATGGCCCAGCTCCCCGTCAATTCTAGCCCCTTCCTAGTTGGTAAGTCGCCCAAACCGCCCAAGCCGAGTATTGTATTGCATCGCTCTTTCACTTTTCATGCATGGTAAAATCACCTTTATAAACTGAAGATAATCAGATGAGTAACCCGGAATAACCAACTGATATATTATTATATAACAATTTCATTTTCATTTTCATTTTCATTTTCAAACAGAAAAGAGCAGACAATTCGATTTCCCGACCAACTAGAGAACTTCTTCAACTAACAACTTTCCCAAGGTCTTCAGCTTAGTACGAAGTCATCCAATAACCGTTTGTTCACAAGACTACCTACGCAATTCACTACTTCCCACATATCTGTCTTTATCTGTCTTTATCTGTCTTCAATGGCCGAAATGTCAGTCCCTCAGCCCGAATGTTCTAACGACATCAATCACTTTGAAGAGGTTGAAAACCACGAGAACAGCGAGGACGACGAGGATACCACTGACTTCGATGACGACTTCTATAACACAGAAGACATGGATTACTTTGATGACCGTGACCTTGATGACATTGATGACATCGATAACCAAAACAACAATTCTCCAAATCCATCAGATTCCTCTTCAGAAGAACCCAGCATAGAAGGAATTATAACGGCTCTCTCCGATATCGAACTCGACAACGACGACGACAGAATGGCCCTCACATTTACTAGAGGGTTTGAGGCATTCCCCGAGGAAGTTCAAATGTTAATTTGGAAGTTCACTGCACTCCATGTCAGGCGCACCATCGTCATGGAGTTTGGACGAAATACGTTCAAATTCGCCAATTGCCCCTCAACTCCAGCTTTCATGCATGTATGTCGCCGAGCTCGGAAATATGGCTTGGATATTTTCAAAGCTGTTAACGAGCGTGGAGTTTCACATGACATCACAGATCGCGACAAGTTTGACAGATTTTATTTCTACGCCAATCCGATTAGCGATGACTTTATCTTGAGATTTGGACTGGAGAGAAACTGCCCCAATCCAGTTTACTGTCCCATAGAGTCAAGTTCTTCTTATATGAGAAGTGAGTTGAGAGTTGCTGAACGTGGACTGGAATCTGAGCATAGGGAATTGATGTTAAGACGTCAGCAAGAGCAACAAGCCCTCAATGCTCCACATGCAATCCCATGGGTCATACAACAACAAGTGCATGTCATGCTTCATGCGCCCCCCCAAATTCAAAATTTTGCCGGTGCTGCTCCGACTACTCAACTTCCTGTTGCACCTCAACTTCCTCCTCCTGCTGCTGCTGCTGCACCTCAACAGGGCTTGAACGTAAATGCAGCACCTCTCCAGCCTGGTGCTGGTGTTCAATTACAACCACAGGGAAATCCTAACCCAGCTCAAGGAGCAGCACCACAGCAAGCTGCCCCAGCAATCCCAGCACCAGTCCCACCACGGCCACCTCCTCCACTTACCCCAGGCGACCCAGTTTTCCCTGATGATAACCAGCTTCCTGAGTTCTTCACCAACATCCGATCCGTCGGCATCAACCTCGATCTTCCCTTCTCAGTCGACTTTGACTTTTCCCAGATGAATCCACGTGCACTTCGAACCTGGGCCGGAGATGCCATCAAAACCAAGTTCGACGATGTATTCACCAAGGTCCTGGATCAATTTCCCAAACTCGAGTATGCATTTGCAGTCGTGAGAGCCCACGGTCGCAGCAATCAGGAGATCAGCAATGGGTATGAATTTGAGCTTGAGAAGAAGAAGTGGACGGAGGTGGGCATGGCCAAATGTGAGGGTATGTGTATGGGGTATGATGAGTTTAGACAATTGGATTATCAGGCCAGGCGTTGGTTTATGATGGAGAGAATTACGAGGGGAATGGCGTTGAATAAGTTGGATTTCGGATTGTATGTTCAGTGGAATATTCAGTGGGAAATTTAGAGGGGGAGATGATGTGTGGGGTGGAGTTATTACTGGTAACGGCTTGCTGCAACGACTCAGCGCAATGGATTCCTGAACGTTGTTATTTTTGTCTTCGGCTGCCAGTACGCCTCATCTCCAATTCCCTACCGTCTTCTACCTCTTCCGGATCCAGCGTCAATATCACAACCACATTACATTACCTATTACTCGCCATCAGTTTCCCATATCACGGCACAGCACATACACGAAACAACAAACCCGTACATACATCCCACGATAGGAAAACCAAAGACTTCAAATACATTTTAAACATTCTAAACATTCTAAACACGTGGGAAAATCGGAGAGGATGTAGATAATTTTACCCAGGAAATCTGGCCTTCTATCATAATAAATAAACTCTCGAGTAATATAGTAGTATCCATCTGGGCAATCAATAAATAATATGTAGAGTTTCGATTGGAGGATGGGGAGGATGGGAGGATGGATGGGCAAATAATGGGAAGGGTTAAAGGATACTCTACAGGCTAAAGGATAGCAAGCAGGTTAAGGGATTCATATAGGTACCAGCTTATCAGCGTAGTACTACTACTAATTTTTAATTCTTAATTTTTCGAGATACCTACTACTCCTATACGAGTAGGAGCGCGGTAAGATGAGATATGAGATATGAGATATCGGTCGGTAGTATTGTATTATAATGCAATAATTAGAGTATTGTACGGTAACTGTCCTCTTTTCTGTATAATGAATATATGCTGATGTTTTGTTGTTAACAACTCGTTTGTGTATCTTGAAATTGTACTGTACTCGTAGGACAATAGATAATAGATACTCTGGTAGAACTTTTTTGTATTTGTATGAGTAGACAAAAGAAAAGTGGTCAAAGCAGGGAGGGGGACACAAGGGATCACTTTACATTGGTGAATTCTTGGGTATCTTACAGGTCAACCTTTGTCGATTCGAAGATACAAAGCACTTGAGACTGACGGAGGATCTTTGGAAGGTAGGTGGTAAAGAGTATTGCTTTTGTTAAGAATAAGATACCTCGTAGGGAACAGACCAAAATATTACTACACCTAAATCCGATTTCCTCCTTTCCATTACCATAGATACACAACACAGCTCTCATGAAGCCAACCCCTCACTGTCTCTTCTTCGACACCGATCTCGTTACGTGCCCACTTCCACTCCTCTGCTTCTTCTCTTGTTCCTTTTTCTCTTGTTCCTTCTTCTCATACTTTTCCGTCTCATCATGATCCTTGCGCTCCGCATACCACTGACCCGCCTGCAAGACCAACACTCCCACCAACACCAAAGCCAAAATCGTATTACTCGCTGCCAAAACCCTCAAACTATCTTCTCTTCCCACCCCTGGTTCTCCTTCTGGCGCACCTGCTTCTCCATATAACCCGAGCGTCACAATGCGCATTCCTTTTACAATGTTGGTGATATAGACCACGACGCCCACGACATACAGAACAAGCGATGCGCCATCAAACAGAAGGTTGGCTTCCGAGGGCTTAAAGAGCTTAATGAAGATCCCGATGAATCCGACCGAGATGACGATGTGCAGGATACGTGGGATGATCGGGGGAGAGGCGTGCATGAATTTTAGGTGCTCTTCGATGAAACTGTAGTAGGCATCCGGTGTGCTTTCGGTGGTCCAGAGGAGAGGATAATCGTAGGGGAAGGAGGAGAAGAGAATACCCAGGAAGAAGCATACGGCTGGATGACATGTTAGAATGGGGGATTCAAAGGGAAATTGATGGGGAGCGTGAGAGGACTTACGACCGATGATCATGAAGGTTGCGAAAGAACTCGCACCTCCTTGACCTCGAGGCTTTTCATAAGTCTTGAATATTGAGACTTTGGAGGTATCCATTGTACGTGTGCGATGTGCAATTTGCGATGTGCGCTGCTGGGAGTTTTGAAGTCTTGAATGTTTGAAGGTTTAAAGATTTGGATTGAATTGTGCGAATATCCCACTGGTGGTTGATGTTCAGGTGGGCTAGCTATAGTACAATAGTGGGGTGACGAAATAGTTGATGCTTTGAGTTGGCTTGTTGGCTTGCTAAGGTTCTTTTTGAGTAATCTTCAATATTAGATGAAAGATCAGATCAAGTATGAATGCGGCGATAATAGATTGAATTTATATACTCGTATTCATATAATGTTAAGATGAAGTGGAATTCATTAACAAATTGAAGATAACACATGTACAATTGGGAAGCTTTTCTAAGGTTGATTGATACAATAAGATGATAAATTACAATTGAGCTCAATCTCTCTAGATACAGGATAAGAGGACGGACGCTAAGGAGAATTGAGGGATCTTCGGTGTTGATTATACTTTTACTTCGGTCAACGGTATGAAAATTGACCGGTGAATCCGAAGTCACGGTAATCAAGATTTTACCATAAACACGAAAGATACTAAATAGTATGTATGTAGACAGGATTAGACTTGATTTTTCTTTGTTTTGTTTTGGTATATGACGAGGTATGAGGTACTTGAAGCAATCAATGGGGGAAAAGTCTCTTTCCCGAGGTATGATCTTATCTTTTAACAAGATCCTTCAATTTTTATACCCATATCTACATCTACATCTATATGTATTCTTAACAATTCGATCAATTCTACGAGTATCTCTACATTTACTTACAAACAAATTGACCATTTCCATTATGATAGAAATATCTTCTTGTATATGTTCCTTTCTAGCTGTTCTGGTTGTATGTTTACTTATTATCATTGTGCTTCTCATTCAAAACCATGTTGACGAGAAACATCTCATGGCTACACCTTCCATTAGGAAAGATGATGCTATTTTGACAGCTTATGCAAGCATCATAATCAACGCATCTGCAGAAGAAGTTTTTGGTACCATCAGTTCATCTGAAGAGTACGGGAGTGGATATTTTCAGTACAAATGGGATGATAACCAGCCTATCGTGGGGGCAAGAGGAATCTATTCGGTGAGACATGTTCCAGTCGGTTGCGAGGAGAAATGTACAAGATTTAATTCCAGTTTAGTTTCGTGTAGAAGAGATACAAGACCGCAATGTGCCTGCCATGTTGACTTTGCTGGACCCGGTACATAAGAAGATGGCGGCGAAGACTGTTAGATACCCCGATTGGCTTTTAGGCTCAGAGAGAGTTCAGGAAGTTGTATCTATCAGAGGCAAAGCAAATATATGTGAGTATAGGACTTGGATAACGCTCGCGGGGATTGGGGCGTATTATCCTTTATTGACTGCGAAGGAAGAGCTTGAGGATGGTGCTACAGATGCGGCTATGGAATTGAAGGTTTTTGTCGAGAAACGAAACCGCAAAGGTTGACCCTTGAATATATTGTCAATGGACCCAGGACCGGGAGAGAACTTTCTATTACAGACTGCAAACAGAACGTATCTCCTGGGGAGCATCGGTAAACCTCAAGATCGTTTCTAGACGGCAAGGTTTTCCGACCCTCATCCATCACCTGGGATTTACAATGAAGTTTGACGTTGCCGCACTATCGAGCATAACGAATTGGTCTTTACGGAAACTTGTCAGAACACAGTGGATGTTAAATTACTTGTCTTCACCGACTACCGTTATCCAGTTCTTTTCAAACTTTACATATTCGTACCTCGCCCAAAAAATCGGAATTACACCATCTTCTCCTCTGTATGGTGAACGGCTGCCGTCTTCTCATCCAGGCCATCTTCATGAGTCTCAGCACCAATCGAAATATCGTGATCTGCTGCAATAATTCTTGCTTTCTCGGTCGCAGCTTGGCCACCGACGATCGCATTCTCTCCATCGAAATACTTCACAATTTCCTCCAAAGGAGTGTTGCGTGTCTCGATATAAAACTTCCAAACGACGAAGAGCTCAAAGGTCAACCAAACGCAGTAGAATATGTAATATTTCCAATGAAGATGGTCCAGAGCGATCGGGTTGACATATTGGTTGAAGAACAACGAGAGATCAACCGCCAAGAACATAATTGTCAATCCCTAAAACGTAAGTCAGCATCGCCAGCGAAGAACGGAGGAATCAATTACCTTTGCACGAATATTGTATGGCAAGATCTCTACACCATAGCCAACCAAAAGACCTGACCACGCACAATTATAGAAGACGTAGTAGAGGAAAATCATGACGACCACTGCATTTGCAGAGGCTTTGCTTCCATGCATCGAAAATTGAGCCGAACATATTGTCCAAACGATGAAGACACCCAGCATTCCTCCTGTGGATACCAAGAATAACAGACGTCGTCCAAGTCGATCAACGAAAAAGCACATTCCTATGGCAACGATCATGTTGACAATCTGGAGGATACCATTGATCAAAAGTTTGGTAGTCGAGCTGTGGATGCCGATTTGTTCCAATACAATATTTATGTAGTAACTGAAATGACATGTTAATTCTCATCTCCGAATGTTTCTATCTGATGCCAACTCACCTGACAAGACCATTTCCTGACCATTGGGAGAAGAAGCCGAGAGAGACGAGGATAATGAGACGATGTCTATTTCCGGGGGTCTTCCAGAGCTCAGCCCATGGGTTACCCTCCGCTTCTTGCTCAAGTTGTAGTGTTTCGCGAATTTCCTGATATTCGAGCTGCACAACTGCATCATTATGGTCCCCGGAGGCATGGACGTCCGCTAAAATCTTAAGTGCTTGTTCATTTCTACCCTTTGCAATGAGCCATCTTGGTGATTCGGGTACGAACCTTGAATTGTGTTAGGTTTACCTTCGTTAAACACGTCGAACGAAGACTTACCAGATAAAGGACATTTGAAGAATGGAAGGGAAAGCCTGCACGACGGATGGGGCTCTCCAAGACCAATTCCCTGCAATATTATTCGTTCCTGGAGATCAGGTTAGCTAAAACTCGATAGGTCCTTGTCTGTTTTTCCTACCAAATGTCAACCAAGCTGCAACAAAGCTTCCGATGTACCACGTTGTGTTGTAAATGGTCGTGTAGATAGCGCGATGTTGCGGGTGGACAAGTTCAGTGATGAGTAATGGTGATGCGCCATGGGCTATTGCGACTCCGAATCCGATCAAAAATCGAGCACCCACGAACATGCCAAAGGTATATCCCAGACTTTGAAGCAGTACACCAATGATCATGATTGTGCAACCAATCATTACACCTGTGCGTCTACCTAGGATATCCGCAGCATATGGTACGAAGGGGAGGGCAACGAGTGAGCCGACAGACATGATACAGTTGAGAAGTCCGAGTTGGGATGCCGTGGGATGGAAATCTAGCGTACATGTGAGCTTGATACTTCAGACTACTCGTCACATGAACACTCACAAGCTTCCCAGGCGGGAAGAGATTGAAGTCCGTTCATCATCGAGCCATCGTATCCATTTGTTGCAGATGTCAACACGACGAACATCAAGCAACAGTACAAGCCTCTCATTCCCTTTTGCTTATACCATGTTACTCGAGGGAACTCCTGACCCGCGAGCTGGAAAGTACTTTTCGTACGTTGGAAATCCATGTTCACTGCAGTAACAAAATCTGCGTCCCGCTCAAGATTGCGTAGTCACAAGTATACTGAATATCGAGGAAGATCAACGAACTCTCTACACTCTGTCCTCCTGTATTTCTCCACAGGGGAATACATGAGATTATATACATTTGCTTTAAACACCCAAGGTTCATTTTATCCTTTTCTATTAACCGGAGCTCAGTCTGCACCACGTCCAAACCGGCCAGACGGAATTACGGTCCGCATAAAGTCTCTTTAACTTGTATATAAGGTTACCTCGAACGCTCTGTCGGTAAACAGCATACACCTTCAAATATCAGCTGTTGAGGTCTCACCAGTGAAGTGGGATGGACGCAAGGCCGAAAGTGGTAACGACTAAGCATTCACCCTGGTCTGGGGACTCCTCAATTTTTCTCTCGAGCATGCTATTCCCCAGGTTTCTCCAATACGCCCCACACTTGGTAACAATTAGATTCAATCTTGTGGCGGTTTGCCATCTGCTTACCAGGATGCTTTTAGGCTATATCCACAAATTACCGGGTGGTGCCGGTTAAATGTGCAATGGCAGCTCTCACCGTTCGACTAAAGGCTCGTCGTATATCCCCTTGCGGGCAAACGAATCGTTTGCTTGTTCAATTAGCCCACACGAGACGGTTACTACTAGAGAAAAGCGTGATGTTCACTAGAGATTGTCACGTTGGTATTTCAATCGTACATTGGAGTAGCATCTAGGCCGATCCAGCAAATATAGGACCAAGTCAAGATTGCGACTAATCACATAAGGTATTCAATTCCACTTACCTAGGAGGCAAAAGTCTTTCTTACCTACTCATCGGAAACCAGTGATAATATTCTCAGGTAAATCAGATTTCAAAGACAGCGCGATAGATCATCATTTGACACTTCAACCTGCGGGGGTAGGTTTTAACCTACAGTGCAAACGTGCTTGTCAATCTGGAGTGAGTATCTATCGACTTTACCACTTCTATGCCAGGCATATGATCGGACGGATTGACGGATCACAATCCTTTTATATCTTTCCGTTACAGCTCCTTGATTTAGAAGTTGACGAGCTGCTTCAGTCCAATGCGGCACATTCGAAACGCAGAGTGAGAGAATTCCGCACGATCCTTCGTGTGACAGAATGTGTGAGGAGTTGAAGCGTTGGGTCTTAGTATCCTCATTCATGCAGGGACGACGCTCTGAATCATTAAATGGCGTCTGCTATCTCGTGAGTATATGCCTATCATATCTTGCGAGCAATATATTGCAGAGCTATCGAAGGAATCAACGAATCCATCAGAACCGCACTGTGATCGGTGCGTACGAGGCCATTTACGTGGCCTCAAACTCTCCATGGCGCATTTTCCATAGTTCCTTTGCATGGGACCCAAAGCAGGTCTGTATAGACTTTAAGGATTCCTCACGCAGGTACCGACCCCTCATTCTCACGGACTGATATCTCACATGATCCCTTTGAGCCTCGAATTAGTGCATGTCCACTCTCTCCCAGATCACAAAGATAAGCCTTATAAGTTATGTGGGAATAGTCATCATATCACAATGTGACACGCATCCCACGTTTGTCCCCTCGGAACATTAATCAAGGATTTTGCTACAAGGCGTCATTATCAAAGCGTCAATATGGTTGAAAATCACCTGCATTGATTGGAGTGGAGAATCGGAGCTTAGCTTTTCACGCCAGAGAAGGGCGCTTCGAATACCCCTCGTTAGGTCGTGATATCACACACATTGTATGGATGGTTGTGATGGCACCGAAACAGAATGTTTGTTTAGATGTGTTATTCTCAATGAAGAAATCTATCACTGGCCATGGCACCCTTCTCCACTGGAGATCTCACTTGGATATCAATCTTTGGCAGTATTGAAATCATACTGACACATCCAATCCCCAGTGCTATATCTCACCCATTCACGCGCTTCGTCCCGATTATCCCTAGTCAGGCAATGGATTAATCCCATCTTACTTAAGCTGCAACAGTTTTCGTGCCAATTTTGCTTGACTACAAGCAAATTAAGATGGGATAACTCCCTCGAGATACTGATCCCTATCGTTGCTAGAAGTAAGTTGAAAAATGATTATTACTCATGCTTAACGCCGGCCATATTGACATGAGGTCATCTAATCACGTAGCGGATAGTTCCTCAATCACCAACTGAACAAAAACAAAGCGATATCAATCGCATACTGTACCATCTTTCAACCCGTAGTACTCGAGTATTGGTGTGTCTGCTATCTATGAGTGCCACATAGGATCGGAACATTACTCTATGAAGCTTTCATGTAAGGTCCTTAAGGCCCTGTCCAAATCCCTGAATGCATCATGATAATGTACTCGAGTAGAGCGCTCAAGACAAGAATGGGACTGATAGACAAATAGCCTGGATACATGAACATCGAGTAATAAGTAAGCGTCGACAAGAAATATTTTCTCTCGTGCAGAAAGTCTTCGAGTAACTACCTAGGTACATGGTGACATCAACATCAACATCATCTCATTCGACAAAAATCCCCCGTCTTAAAGTTAGCTTAGTGGTAGTGGACTCAGGACTGAGACTCCGAAGCGCGCGCTGCCAGAAAGAAAGTCTCGTGGCTGATTTGGCGGCTCTGGTTATTAGGTAGTTATTAGTTATCTAATCTATCCCTGAGTGCTGCTGAGTGCTGTCTTCAGGCGCACGGAAGGGAAGGAAGGAGCTACTGTAGAATTTGTTAGGTTATGAGGATATGAGGATATGAGGATATGAGGATATGAGGCTTTGAGTTGAAGATTGGTTTGATGGTGAGGTTAAGGTTGATAGAGAAAATCATGTGGCGGTAAAGGTTAAGAGCATAGGTAGGTAAGTATTACAAAATGTCAACAATAGGTAGTCCCAATATTGAAGTTATTCACCTATTCAACTCAATTCAATTCAATTCAATCTTTTCCTTCTCCCAATTCCAATTCTCAACTTATATCTATCAGCCAGCCATCATAAGAGACCTCACCTCGTTCGTGAATACCTACGTTTCAACAACCACAGTACTAGTCCTATCGACCCGACCCCTTTCACCTTCACTCATACATACCCATACTTAGCCCCCATTCTTACAGTGCCGGACCAGCACCAATCATCAAAACAATTATTGGAGCAGTCCAGTGATTTTAATATTTCATCGAATCAAAAGCCATATTTTTGACGCCCAACACGCACGTTGGTTGGTGTCATATGCATCTGCTCTAAGTATAGCCAGCCTATTACAGTAACAGTAACAGTAACTTTCACGAGAGAGAACGAACCCCGTTTTCTCGGAGCCAATTAAATTAAGGTATACTCCAACCGCCGCCGCTCAGGTTTTTCTTTCTTCTAGGGACCTCAGGTTTCTCAGGTTTCTTCCTCCTGCAGCTTGTTCACCAATACGCAAATTGTAAAACGCAAATCACGAATCACATCTTAGAATCGATCACTCTGCCTGGTCGATATTGACCTTGTTCTTTCGACCGACCGACCAAGCGTGTAGGAAAGGAAAGGAAAGTATAGGAAGTTAGGAATGCAATACTCAACGCCACTCGTCAGAAGTCACAGCATCTCTTTCTCATCCTATCACCTATAGCTACTGTATCACTCATTGTACCCATCACTCAGCATATCTTACCTAGATAGACATCTCGTGCTTGTGTGAATGACTATAATCAATCCTTCGCTGCTTCTACTCCTGCTTTCTCTCAACTTCTCAAGATACCTGCCTAGTCATTACTCATCTACTCATCTCTCATCTACTCATCTCTCATCTATCACCTCTCCAACTTCGACGGGTCCTTCCTTGTTCCCTAGTCATCACAAATTAAAACTTAGTAAGTCCCTAGGCCATCCATCCCAAGTCACTCACTCACTTGAGATCAACTCCTCGCCGCTTTTATATATCGGAAACTATTATTATTATTCATTTTCCCACGTTGGATACAGGATCCCATACCTAGCAACATTATTGGATGGTCCAGCCATTGAAGGGTTCTAAAATAAATTACGGTAGCGCGATAAAAAAAGAGCTACTCATACTTACTCTTAATCCAATCCCCTTGTCTTATTTATATTTTACCTACATTTATTTAAATATATATACCATAACCTTACCTTACATGGGTGTCCAATGACCCACATCCCTCACAGTTAACCCTCCTACCTTGTAAAAAGGCCTCCACCAAGTCGGCCAACATCATCACTTACAGTCTTACACTCATTGCCAAAAATTCCCCCAAGCGCCCTACTCTATCTAATGAGTTTGATCTAGCACTGGCTGCTAAATTCGTCAAGTACAGACCAAGCCCTTGTTCTTCTTCGCGCGCTACTTTCCGTTACCTTGCCTTGCATTGCCTTCCTTGCCTTGCCTTGCCTTGCCTTGCTTCAGCTGCTGGGGAAACATTGTTTCGAATTCACATTATAATACTTTCTCAAGACCCAAAACGTCTCAACTTTCTACCCTTTCTTCTTTACGGACTTCACCCTACCACCATCACAGTTTGCAAACCGTTTGTCTTCTCGTCGTCATTCTTTACAAATAATGGAATCCCCAATCAAAACTTCTGCTCTCGCAGCCGCGAGCGAACCTATTCTTCCTCCCCCCAAAAGAACAATGTCTTCAACCAAACCCAAACTTCCACCACTCAAGACTCCAATGTCTTCGACGTTTCCCTCGGAGCTATCAGCTTTATCAAATTCCGCACGCAGCCCACTTCCTGGCTATGCCGACTTTATGATCAAACAAGAAGATTATATAAAGACTCCAATTACCCCCCCTCTGGCCTATACCGATTTCCTCAAGACTATGAACAGCCCTACTGTTGCCGAAAAAACATGCTCGAGACCAACACCTACTTCTGCACCATCCTCAGATACCCTGACTAGCAGTGAAAGTAGTGACTGTTCATGCAACTGCGATGCACATAAATCGCCCGCCAGTTCCGTTCCTCCTACACCATTCAGCTACCCAACATCGGCGCCATCATCTGCACGACTGGGACGTCTTCGCATTCCTATCTCACCAGCATCATCATATGCTGAGTCTCCCTTGAGCGCACGCTCGCCCTTTAGTGCACGAAGCGCACGTTCGCCATATGATTGGGAGCTCCGAAGCAAGGGAAGATATTTTGATATCAAACCACAAAAACAAACACGTTCGAGCGTTCGTCAGGTCAGGGAAGTGGTCACGCGAACCGTCACATATACACCACGAATGAGCCCCGCACCGAAGGGCAAGAGAAGGAAAGTCGATCACGATGTGGAGTAAATGATTTATACCAATATGTTACCCCTCATTTCGACCATCTATCTACATATCGCATCTCCCATATCCCACGCAATCCTTTAAAATTACATCTATATTACCACTCATTATAACATATTTCATTTGTCACCACTGTTGTCATTCAACAAAAACCCTCGATACTTTTTACGACTTTATGGCTTCATTTCTTGATTACGACAATAATGACACCAAGTCGTGTCTTATTTAGGGAGGAAAATGTACGAGCTCGGCGAAGATAGCCTAGAGTCTCAACAGGAGTTCCGGAGTGAACATGATTCATAGCACGGCTCTTGGTATGGTATAGCATAGCATAGTTGCAAGCTTAAATCTATGACTAGGCGATTGCATTTTGGGGAAGGGAGAGGCTGCTTGCTAGGATCTTGGAAAGTACAGGAGTAGGAGTGGAAGATGGATGGATGGATGCATTTTTATGAGGGAGATGGGCTGGGACTTTGGGCTGGCGGTTGGCGTATAATTTTCGTACAGGCGTTTCATGGGCAAGTCGGGGGTGGCATATGATATGATATTGATACTGGATGGAAGGTGGATGCTGGGGAATAAATTTTTGAAGCGGGGGAGGCTTGGAGGAGCATGGGATGGGATGGGATGGGATGAGATGATGCTATGTACGGTACTCGTACTTGTACTCAAGTAGAGTATTTTGGATTAAACTATACTATACAATAAACAACCAAATCAAATACTACAACCGCATTTCTACCCAAAGACGAACGAACTATGAATTAATCCCCAAACCCCATTCTCCTTGATAAATAATTCTGGGATCTACTATACCTACCGGACCGGAATGCATGCAGATCGTAAACTTTACATTAATAACTCCCGATGGATGGATGGATGGATGGATGGATGTTCATCACGCACCACGCATTATGTACCATGTACCGCGCTTCATGTTTCATGTTTCATGCTTCATCACATACTGTATATCACATATATCGCATTTATCACATCTACTCGGATCTCAGATCAGATCAGATTACATGTAGATGTAGATGTTGGTGGGTCGGAATGTGGTTATGTTAATGTGGTTATGTTGATGTGTTATTGTTATCTGGGAGTGGGAGTTCGGAGTGGGAGTTCGGAGTGGGATGGTTTAATAAATTTTGTTTCAACTTGCTTTATACGAGTAGAAGTTTTTTTGGTTTATTTATTGATTGGAACAAGTGGTATTTGATGATGAATAGATGAATGAATAGATGGTGTTTTTTTGTTTGTTCTATAAAAAGATAGATTGATTGTATACCAGATGCTGTATCTGTACTGGAGTAGATTATTTATATATACTTGTGTTTGTGTTTGTATTTGTGAAAGTTGATCTATTATAGATTCTAGAGGAATATACTCGAATATAATAACTAATACTTTTATAAGATTATTATATATCTTATCTACTAGTATTTCATTTTAAATACGAGTAGATTTCGTTTAGGTGTTTGTTTCTGGAATAGATGGACGAGTAGGGAAAGGAAGAATATTCGAGGAGGAAGTACTCTGTAAAGTAAAGATTACTAGTAGCATTTCCTAAATTAGATAATCAATAATTAAGTATGTTATCCATTCTATCCCATCCCATTCCATCTCCTCATTTCAGTTTATATATACTCAAAATCTGGTACTGAAATATTTTTAGTAATATATGGATTCTCTCGAATATATGAAAGAAAGTAATTTACAACTACTCTACTGTACTCGAGTACAAGAAGTTGACAATACCCAAAAACAAAAAGCAGCATCCATTTGTCCCATACAAGTTATGAACCATCTGACTAATAACCTTAACATAGATTATTGAATCCTACTAGAATGGCTTCTCTGAGCTTATCTAGATTATCTGTTTCTCTTGTTCATTGGCATGGCATGGTATGGAATAAACAAGCATCTAAGCGCCGCCAGATCGGAGGAAAACACGAAAATTACATGGATTAATGTGGATCTAACTTTAGATTGCTGCATTACCTAGGTAGGTAGGTATATTATGCGTTTTATTCCTTGTTCTTGTTTTATATCTGTTAAATAAATACGAGTATACTACGGTTAGATATGGTTATGGCTTGCTTTTATAAGTATAAGGTGCGAGCGTAATGATTGGTGACGAGAAAAGCGGCGAGATGGATGGATGGATGTGTACTGTAAGCGCTGAGGAGTATTAAATGTGGGTTTTGGCGGGGGAGATTGGTGATTAAGGTTTGTGAGTTGTAAAGGGGGTGTTGATTGGATGGTTTGGTGGGTTGGAACTTTTGGAGGGTGGAGACAGACACTGGAGAGGAGAGAAGAGAAGCTAGAAGGGAGAGGGGAGGTAGGAGATGGGATGGAATGGGATGGGGCATGGATGGAGGGTTGTTGGAATTTTGTGTTATGGCTATCTAAGTTAAAGTACGAGGGAGGAACTGCCTTTTTGGGTATTTGGTTGTAAAATACTGGATTGGTAATGTGATGTTCTTATTTGGTTTGTTTTTGGTATGGGGATGGTGCATTATAATAGGATGGGATGGGATTGATATGTAAGGTATGTGTGTGAATAACATCAATAGAATCGAGATAGATTTAGATAATTGTGTTATGGATGTTTCAGTATACTACCTATAAAGAGTCGGAGTAGCCGTCAGGCAGTGCTAATTAAGTCATATGCAGCTCCCTCTTAGGTCAATCTAAAAGCATATAATATTGAATAGGGAAGAAACTCCATTGTGAGACCCTACAAGTATCTAATATTAAACTATTTGCAAGTCATGAATCAATGCAAGACACGGATGCATATTATATATACTTGATTATATATAGCATAGCATATGGCTAGTGGAAAAGAGCCTCAAACATGTGGTACGTTGGACTTGGAAGGAAAGTCGTAATTGCTTGCATACATTTCCCTACGGATTGGGTCGTATAGGGAAAACACTATTCTGTTTTGTATGTTCTGAATGATAATGTTGGTGTTCAATATGAGGTATGGAGTTATGCTCAGTAGTATATACAGTACATCCAATTCTTGAAGTGCGGACTAGCCTGCGATATAAATAAACAATAAGATATTTCCTTAAGACCTAGTACAGTGTCAGAGGCGAAGAGCCTAATGAAACAAACCATCACTTTCCTCTCAAACACCTCAATGAAACAGACCCTCGAAAACCTACTGACTACCTAGGTAGGTATGATATCGAAAATCAACATCATCAACCCTCCAGTCTAATTATGACTTTAAGTTACTCCATACTCGAGTACACCGAGCCCACATCAAGAGTCAAGACCCTTCGTCGCACCATCAATCGTTACCCCTTCATTGCCACTGCCGATATGATAGATACTGTACTGTAGCTCATCGATATCAGTGCTCAATCATCACATCACATCATATCACATCACAAATAAACACATCACCCGCCCGGCTTCACCGAAGTATAGTAATATAGGTAGGTATATAACAAGATCAGCGAAAACCCATACATATGCTTTCTCGCTCCAATATTCGCTCCAGGAAAGAATCCCGTGATTCTTATTGGAGGGTACGCGTGACGCCGGGGCGGTGCATTCTGTATGTACGAGTACGGGGAATAGAGAGAGGTATGAAAGGGGAAATCCGATGGCAAGATGTTAACTTGTCCGGGTACAGTAGTAGGTCCGCTCGTTTCATCTTCATTCTGTATGCTATCTAGGTCTGGTGTATTGTATTGTATGTACTCGGCGCATGATCCAAAGGATGCAAAAGCACGGAAAATGTGTACTCGCTGGCATGATGGCCGCCGACGGTGCGGCCACTTCCCCATTTCACTGCATACATATATCATTTCTTTCACGACAGGCAACAAGGAAGAAACACGAGGATTTTTCTTCTCGGCGCGTGCTTCAAGTATCCAAACAGACAGCCTCTCGAATCGACATATAAATTGTCGAGCCAAAGAGATGCGGTTCCTCGCGATGAAAGCTTCGAAGCCATATTTATACTTTGGCTTGCTTGAAAACCGCTCGTGGTCATTTGTCTAAGCAAACCCGGGTGATATATTATTTTGGGCCTCCATTTCAATGATATATTTATTATATTACCCCCACTCTGAAAGCTTGAAGTTGTGGGGGTACACTGTACAGTATTTTGCAAGAAAATTACATTACGGACCCGAACCGGCTCAGCAATTTCAATTGCATTGCTCGTGCGCGGCGGCTCAAAAGATTAGCAAATTCAAAATGCCAGCCATGGTCAATGTCATAGCTCTACCGGTAGGACTCCACTTTCTCGCCTCACTCACGGATGGTCCGAAGGATCTCAGATGCAGAAACCTTTTTATGGGACTGAGGAACTCCCTCCCTGCCCTGCGTGCAGCGTGCAAGCTTTTCATTCATACTCTAGTGATGTTTGGGAGCGCAGGATTCGAAGCTTGGGTCGGACGGACATGGAAGCGAAATCGCTTCGATAATGAGAGCCTAGGGATTCACACTTTCAACTACTTTCTAGAGCCTGATGTTCTGGGGTATGTTACTCGGGTTTCTTTCCGGGAAATCGGGTTTGTGGGTTTGGAACTTTGGGATATTGGATATTGGATGTGGACTCGCTTGGTAGGCATCATTTCATTTCCGAAACTCTTGTAGGATAGGTTATATATCCTGTAGTATTAGTATACTTTAGAATGCTTCCTTGACGCGAGGTAGTGGATGTTCTGGTATAGTTATCCATGGGTTTTGACAACCGCGAGATTGTTGTTCATGAATATTTTGTTGGTACAAGGGCTCTATAGCTGCTAGTGGCCACGTAGACCTGCGTGTTCATATTCCAAAAGATAGATGTTACGACTTACGACTTACGACTTACAAGTGTGGTCTGCTAGGTTTTGGTCTTGCTTAAGCAGCACCGGAAAGATCTTCTCTTGATTCCAAATTGATTCCAAACGAGAGCACTGCCTCCGTCGAGTGCATCGATCGGAATTTGGTATCTAGTGTATCCAATGTGTCCAGTATATCCAATGCTTGCTTGGCTATATGCCAGCGACCATCCATGCCGGCCTACCGACTCATCGCCTATGAACCAAAAATGTATCTACTCCGTACGACGATAAAATACAAAAAACATACACATTCAGCACTAGATACATTGGAGTTAGTCGAAACAAGTGTTTTTGTTGCCCATGAAAGAAAGAAAAATAGAGGCATGGCATGTATGCTACCTGTGCAAAGACATAGATCATGATTTAGTACCGGTATACAGTATTAATCTGCGTATCTAATGTATATAGAGTATAACTTTATTGTACTCGAGTACATATACATACGGAGTATATACCTACATATGATAGTTGTAGTATAATGTATATATAAGGGGGCGCATCATTAGCATCATTATGATAGATAGCACTTTAAAATGTCGCGTTTACAGTTTTGCTATCTATTTATTTTGATGGTTAGGCTGAGGGTGAGAAGAAGAGGGAAGGGGCCTTTCTTTCTGTGGGGTATTAGGGTATTGGTAGCGAGGAGACTAATCATTCGAGTAAATGGTACCTAGGTATACCGCGATTTTGTTCGTCACGGTACTGTACTGTACTGCTCGTTGATACGGGGAGCTTATGGTGATTGTATAATTACCCAGGTAAAGCATTTATTTGTATTTGCGATTTGTGCGTTATCTGTAAGCTAAGATATCCTGTTGCAATACTAGTGAATATGGTCACGTGATAGCGATGGCCATATAGGCCTCCCCGCTCTCGAAGTGGGAATAGCCTCAACCAACTTTTAATACAATACTTTTGACCATATGGTATAGCCATTTCACCCCCGAGGTGATACCAACATATCCATTCTTTGCGTCTCCTATTCCCATTCCCATTCCCATTCCCATTGTACTGCCAATTTACCACTATCATTCATGTGCAAGTTTTGCAGCAGCAACTCCTCCATAAAACCTCAATTCTCCTCCTCCCAAACACTCCCTCCCTCCCTCCCACTCACAAACCCAGCCCACGTATCCGTCACGCACTCCATGCTACTCCCCTCCCTCCCCTCTCATCCCCTCCCGTCCTAACCTCCACCACCCTCATCATAAGCGGATCCACAAATGTATGGTTACCCAACGCGCCCCTCACAGCTTTCGTATACGCCCTCATCAGCTCAGCCGCAAACTCCGTTGATTCCTGCACATACCCCTCCAGATGAAAGAGTGCGCGCCCATAACACGTGCTGGATTTCGTGAGCGAATATGCATAGGGTTTGACGCATGCGGCGATTGCGAGACGTCGTGCTTCGTGGATGGTGGGGAGGGTTATCGCGAGTTGCATGTGGGATTGGTGGGGGAAGATGCCGTGGGTGGAGGAGTGTTGGAGGTGCTGTTTGAAATGGGTGAGGATGGGGTTGTGGATTTGGGGGGTGGGGGGATGATGGTGGGGATGGTGGGGATGGGGATGATGATGATGGGGGGATGTGAGTGTGAGGCTTATGGTGAAGCGAGCGCAGCTTTGGAAGAAGAGAAGGTAAAGGGTGAGTTTTTCGTGAGGAGAAGTGATGGTGGTAGGAAAGACGAATGTATTGGTGCAGAGAAATTGAACGATGAGTTGGAAGGTAATGAGAGAAATTTCGGGTAGACTCATTTCTTGAGAAACAGCATCGTGGGATTGGGTTTGACAATTGAAAGCGTGATCGAAGAATGGAGAGTGGCTACATAGCAGGTCTTTGGGTAAGGTAAGTGCTTGCAGCTTGGAACTTCCGAGTGATCGAACGAAGATCTTGACGGTGGGGCCGCTGGAGATGTCGATTTTGCTGGGGAATTTGGAGTGAGGTTAGTGACTTTCTTGCTGGGTGGGTGTACTATATCATATCATATCATATCGTGTATGTGTATATGTATATAATATGTATATAATATGTGATTCGCAATAACTCGTACTCACCTCAAAAATTGATCAGCCGGAAGATTCTCAAAAACTTGTTCGTCGGAAATTATCATCTGTTTCCTGTTGCGTTTCTGCCATGCTTGACTCTCGGTTTCGTCACTATAATAGTTATCATCGTCGGAAGTTTCATAGGCGTCGTCGTCGTCGTGGTCGTCATGCTCGAAGGCGAAGAGTCCGTCGTCCATGGTGGTTGCTTGAGTATGTAGGTACCTATATACTCGAGTAGGTATGTAGGTATGTATTCTCAATATGAAGGAAGATCTTTAAATGATTGTGTATTCTGTTTACTACTAGATAAACTTTTAAAAGATTGGGTTGACTATTGACTGTTGACTGTTGACTGTTGATGTATATTGATATATTTGAAGATTTTGAGAAGTAGGTATCCAACAAGGTACTCGAGTATACCGATCTTGTTGGAGATGGAAATTCTTTTGGAGGATGGAATTAAAAATTTCTTTCAGGATGATATTTCACTGTCAAGCGAACCAATACGGAAGAGAAGAAGCTAATAAGGTAGGTCACCTATATAGATGACTATCAAGGTTGTTTACACTTTCAGTCGCTGGTTGTATGAATAATGAAGTGACATATATATACCTAGGTATTCTCTACTTTAATCAAAAAGTTCCTCGTGTCTACCAACTTGATCTTCCATCTTAACTCGTTTTTCCACTACGAGTACTATATTGTTCATTGTTCATTGTCACGTTATAAATCGGACACTTTGCAAATACATGCATTGAAGTGACAACTATCCCCATGTTCTAAGCAACACACGATATGATCACTACTGTCATCAGTCCACCTTAGTCCGTCTATTCAGTAATAGAGACTTTTGCCATCAAGAAGATCATACGACTCAGCAAACTCAGCTGCGTTATGTTTTCCTGCCACTTCCCCGTATACACGTATAACATAAGGTCTGACTGAAGCAAACCCATCAAGCTCATCGAGCTCCTTTTCGAACAAGAATTTCCGGGCTTGCTCGTGGGCGGCATCGATAGACTCAAGATAGACATAAATACAAGATCTAGCGATCCACATTCGAAGTCCATGTCCAGGTGGGAAATTGACAACCTGGCTGGCGAATATGCCCCGGCAGAAGATTGCGATAAATTATAATCGTCTACAAGTACCTGTTTAAGATCGTCCAAGATCTTTTTCTAGACATCAAGGCTCAGCTTCTCTGCCAACTCGTATAACTCCATGGTAATGGTCTATGAAGATAGAAAAATTAGCATCGCTTCATTTTCATGAAAGATTTCGCTTTAGCTAGATATTCCATCTTATTTGAATGTCTCAAACGAGGTGAATCACTCACTAGATAGGTATAATCGGACATTGTGAGGGCTTACAAAGAACTTACTACATGCTGTAGTCCAAATCCCGTAATGAACTCTGGGCAGACAAAAAGTACCAGGATAGAGAAACTGCATAACAAAGTCGAAGACCAAGCTTGAGCCCTCTAATCTAATTATTTCCAGTGAAATCTGCCCGGAATCTTCGGTTTCTATAATGGTTTTAAAGAATGGTGAGGCTTGAAAAAGTATTGCTTTGCCGGTGGGTAGTCGGTAGGTAGTCTTTGATTAATAATGATGTACCAGTGGTGACAATGATTTCTGCACCATGAAAGAGCTTGGGTCTGCTTGTGAATTCATTGTCTAGATTGTTATCAGAAAATGTTTTGAAAAAGGTGAAGTTGCCAAGTTGGTGACTTGAGGAAGGCACAAGTAATTTCGAAGGATACTAGGTAAGTATTTTCCTTATATTATTGATTAATTACTATCTAGATTATTATCAGAAATTTTTAAAAAAGATAAAGTTAATAACTTGAGAAAGGCATAAGCGACTTCGAAGAATATTAGTCGAGTACCTTCCTTATATACGAGTACTTTATATGCCGTAATAATGCTGCTCATATGATTATAAGTTAAAACACATGATTTATATACTATTATATACTATTATATATACTATTATAGTATATAAACTACCTAGTAGTATAGAGTGAAAGAGGCTTCACTTCTTATTGGCAAAATCGAGGCATACTTCTCTTAGAAATAGTTATAGACTATATACTAGCCTTTTCTTACCTTCCTTTATCTACCTATTCCCTGTCCCCTATAGGGTACTTACTCCCACCCCATATAGAATAGATAGGTGGGGGTAAGTAAGAGAAGGGTTGGTAGGTTTATAATTAGAGATTCATTACCTATTAGAATGAATCACCGAATAACTTCAAATCCTATACGTGACACAATCAATATCATTATAAAAATAAAGCGAATAATAACACAGCTAAGTTCACAGTGACTATGCTTTACACATAACCCAGCCCTACTTTGCGTAAAGCGTCCAATCCTAGACCGTACTTGGAGTTATATATAAGTCGTGACGTTCTTAGTGCCGTGTTTAAAAAAAAGCGACGGCCTCGACCTCGATTCACTAAACGTGACAGTTTGACATTTCCATGTCTAAACTCAACTTCAATATAATATTTAGTATCTTGAGGTTTCCGAAATTCAGAATTTACATGTCCGAATTCAGCTGGAACTTCGAATTACTAGCCAGATGCATATACTCTAGAGTTGTGGACAACTCAGACGGTTTAGGAGGGATCTGAAATGTTGGTAGATGAATGATGATTTTATACTTGGAGAGGAAGAGGAAGAGGAAGAGGAAGAGGAAGAAGAAGGAAAGAACTTCAACATCATGATCACCACATAAGGCAAGAACATACTTATTCAATGGCTTCGTTTTGTTTTCATGTTAGTCCTTTCTGTTCCTTTTCTAATACATGCTAAGTAAATAAGTCTAAAGATATTCTTCCTGCCGAGTTCATACCACCGAGTTCTAACCAACTCATAGTAATGGACAATAAAAGCGAAATCTCGATCTTCCTATCCGAATGTGATCTGATAACTAATTCGTGTGTGAGATATGTTCGGACACATGCTTGACCAGATATAAAACGTGTTTCATGGTCTCTGGGTAGTTGGTATACGGAGAATAGGAGCCCATTGGCCACTTAATCGTTCTCCTTGCGGGCACGATATCAGGTCTCTTACTTACCAAGCAATTCTCTTAATAGCAAGGAGGCCGGCGTAGAAGCGTAGACCAGTAGCAGCGAGCTTGTCTGTGATAATGTAAGAACGTGATGATGATCTCGACACCTTTAAACTAGGCATTTTAGGAAGGTTTTTGATATAGATCCACTAAAGGAACAGATGAAATTCCCCGAGTATTTCCTCGTAAATCTCAATGCAATCATCACTGCTTACCTTGAAACATCCGTTGAGAGCGCGGGCAAATGTTCTTGAATGGTGACACAAGAGGGTTTGAGAAATGGACTATAGTGACACTTCGCCTGTTGGTCCTGCGACGATGCCAGTGGTTGCACTTGGACATTCGTACAAGCTGATTTCACTACATTGATTAGCCTGTGTTATAAAAAAAGAAAAATACACGGTAAATTTTCTTTTCAGATGAGCGTGATGACTCTACCATTCACCTGAATGAGAGGACTCTAGATTGTTCGACATCCGGTGGAGTTGCCATTTTTGAGAATATGATATGGATTTAATCATGATCAAATCCAAAAGATCGGACGAGATGTTGCCATTGCAAAGGTATGGAGTTGGGGGTGATCATTGTGTACTGTAGAGATTCAGTAGACGTTGTATTATAAAGATAACGATGAAGCAGTAAAACCATGCTTTCGCGCAGATAATGGCAATTATGGAACTCAAACAGACGAGGGCTAGGCTAACACAGAGAAAGAGGTACTTCCACGCTAAAAGAGAAGAACTACCTGGTAGGGCTATATACACATAATTCCACGAGTATTCTAGAACTCAGAGTCATCAACACTCTACCAGGGAAACAAAAGCTTGACAGTTCGAAATGTTACAGTATTGTACGGATATGGCTATCTTTGCAATCAGACATCCAAAGTTTGACTTCAAAGTAGAATGTATAAGTTCACGTACCGGTACTTATCTAAATCATTCAAGTCCATGTAACTTAGACTCCAACATCACTATGTCACGACCGCTTGGTCGTTGCTCTGTGTCTTTCACAATCCACAATACTGGCTCATTTGGCAATATATCGCAAATAAACTGACCCGCTCGGGGATTATGTCTTCAAGGATATGATCATAAGACTCTAGAGGAACTCTAGCCTCCCACTCAAGCTATAAGCTGGTGCTGGCATCAGAAGAGTTTGTAAAGCCGTTGTGTAACCTGGTGATGATGAGCATGGCCATGCCATTCAAGAAGTAAGGGCGATGATGAACGGCATCCATGGAGACTAGGAGATGTCCAATATAGATAGAACATGTGAAAACAGAAGTCAAAGTACTGGTCTTGCAAAGTACAATGAGTACATACGATACGAAACGACACTGCAGAGTGCTTGTTGGTCCAAGAAATGATCATACAGATAGAAAGAATCTACAATGCTGCAAGTTGCTTTAAGTAAATATAAAGGATAAGATATAACTGTACCTTACATTGCCGGATTGAAGATATGATATTGATGATCAAGAGGATGTTGAAATTTGGAAACCTATCGCAAAGGATTACCGCCACCATGAACGAAGGAATAAGCATTGCGCTAGACAGCAACAAGGTGTACCTACGAATTGAACCAATCAAAATACCTCGGATAAGACCCATTTTACTCCTTCATCAAAAAATGTCCAAACGAGGTCGTGTGACTAATACCGTATATTATTGTTTAAACAAGCTTCACACATCATCACGTACATGTAATATTGCGAGAACTCATCCCTCAAAAACATGTCCCTACGATTTATCCAACCATATAATCTCAAACAAGTGTCGATGTCTGAATCCAATTCAGCCATATAACGGATCGGCATGGGTTATGGGAATTCTTGCATTAAAATAAATCATCAAATCATATTAAGGAAATTGCCATATCAATACGGTACGGTACGGTGACAATAACCATCAGGGAGTTAATGTCGAGGCACCATAGCTATGGATGAACTAACATTAGTATTGTCCGTACGAGGGGTTATACGCGTCCCAGCAAGCAAGTGCCGATAGGATTGTATGATTCTCAAAGTTCAGGTTATAGAGTATAACATGATATAACACAATATAACATGAAAGAAATGCCACAATTTCCTTACTCCACTATTATAATCAGCTTCAGTTCATCCGAAGTGGACTCCTCAGTATTTGTGCAAAGATCTAGATCCCATCAATCTGGTCTATATCTTAAAGTCTTTCCTCTTTCCCACACGAAATTCACAAAGATCTTCCACATAAGTCTCAAACATGACAGGAAGATGTTCTGGTAAGCTCCAGATATCCATTTTCATCATCACATACAAGTACTCATCTACTTAGCCCTCGACACACCCAATACCCAATATTATTTCTGTCCCAACCTTGGTGCCGCCTACCTTTTCACTATCCTATTCGGTGTCACAACTGTGGCGCATTTTGCTCAAGCTATCCTTTATAGAAAAGTATACTGTTGGGTTATCGCAATGTCGAGAAATGCACAAACGCTGGCATGTATTTTTAGGATTCTCAGTATAAAGTATCCTGCTACCTACTCGAGTAGTTCTGGAAAGTATACTATTTGGTTTGTGCTAATTCTGGTGAATGACTCTCCCGATCCGATCATCATTGGTAGCAGTACTAAATTATACTGACAGATAGCACCATTATTCACAAATGCATTTGCACATATGGTCATGGGAAGAATGGTTTGGAATCACGTCACGGAAGCTAAGATCTGGAAGATAACAGCGTGGAGGTTTGGTCTTTACTTTGTGATTCTCGATATCATGTATGTCTCAAGGGGTAAATCCCCATATATTTGAGTCCGGTACTAACGCATGGGTCAGAGCACTTTTGATTCAGATATGGGGAGCTTCGTATCGTCTGCCTCTAGTGACGATGCAAGCACGAAGGAGATACTACAAGGTATTTGTCCATCAATACTGCTTCATTAACTAGCTGATACTGTACTAGGTCTTCACATTTACATGGTCGGTGTCGGAATGCAACAATTCTCCATCTTCGTCTTCCTCTTATTCGCCTTTAAGTTCCATCAAACACTGCGTGACCAATGCCGTCGAAATATCCATACTTCACGACAAGCATGGGTTTTACTCTACGCTTTATACGTAGTCATAATATTGATCACCGTGAGTGACTCCCTTCTCCACAGTCTATCTTTTCCCTCAACCCACCGATTCGGTACTGTAGATTAGAATTATATTCCGTCTCATCGAGAACTCCCAAGGACTCACAAGTAGCATCCCCAACCACGAAGCCTTCCAATACATATTCGACTCCGTACCCATGTTCTTCGCTCTCGTTCTTCTCAATATCTTTCATCCGGGCCGTATCATGGCAGGTCTAGAATCAAATATTCCGGGCAGGAAAGAGAGAAAGAATAAGGTATTTACGACGAGGATGCAGAGGTTTGGGGGTAGTGAGAGTGAGTGACCGTATTCAAATGGTGTAGCATATGTAAACTAGTTGGTGGTGGAAGGTCAAAGTTTGTGGTTAAGGGACCGGTAGATCTTGTACAATTTGGGAGATAACATACTATGGTATGGAAAGAGAGGATTGGAGTTGGTTTAAAGGTTGGGTTAGAGCTCGCGGTTTATGGATATATATGTTAGTCGAGGTTGGGCGAGAGTGCTAAAGGTGATGGGTTGAAATGATGATAATTTGGTTGATCGGGCTAATTTGACATTTGGATATTTCTTTTCCTTTTCTTTTAAAATATCTCCAAACTTTTGTGTTTGGGCTTGATAAATAAAGGGAAAATAAAGTATTTGTATTGTTTTCTCTATATAACAACCTGGTCTGGTCTGGTTTAGGTTGTATTCTATAGAATTTGGGAATCTCAAATATCGATCCTAGGGACAAGATTTAAATGTATTCAACTCTTTTTTGAAATTTGGAGATTTTGTTAGCAACAGTATTGCTTGTATTTTCCTCCTCACGCTACCACCGCCGCCACTGCCACCGCCAACTCCAATGAAAAGATCATATAATTAATTCCATTGTCAATTTATCTCCTGGTCAAATTCCATTCTGCAACTGATAATTCATCTTCAAATCGGTCTCTCACTTGAGACTTCAACATGATAGAACTATCATCGCTCTTTTCGCTTGATACTGCTTGGATAATTTCCGACCTCTCAAAGTCAATCAACATGACCCGTTTCATCTCCGCATTCCAAAATACATTAGGTGCCCGCAGATCCCTATGCAATATTCCAGCATGATGGATTTGTTGAATTGTTTGCATCACCATGGTATTCACACACTCCTGACTCATCTCTTTCACAACCTTGCATTTGTCCCATCTTTCTCCGGCCCATGAGAGAATCATCATATGTACTATTTGGACTCCAATATCATAATGATATGGATGAATAAGATTTATGCTTCCAAAACAGATTGGTATGTAAACACCTTGAATCTTTTTCAAATGTTCATATATCTTGCATTCGTGTCGAAGATCTTTTGCAAAGGCTCTCACAGTTCCTTTTGCTACTACGGTATAGCCATGTGATGTTAAAGTGATTTTGAACAAAGCGCCGCGAGCTCCTTGTATCCCCAATGGATAACAATCGTCATCTCGATTTTGTTCAAGCTGTTGATGTAGAAGAGAGAGAAATGTTTCACGATTGAGTTGATGTTGATTGCTTCTGTGATTTGTCTTGTAATGATCCAATATATTAGGGCAAGACGTATCTAAATTCCCCCTTTCCGCAAGTCCAAGTAAGCAACGTTGTGTACAGAAAGATCGTCTTTGAGCTTCATCTCCAGAAGTATTTGCGTTTTTAGAACCATCCTTTCGACTTTGATTGTGACGTTTCGTGGAGCGAGTAGGCGTATCAGGAGACTCGTGGTCGTATGCATCAGGAGACTCCGGATCATCCTTGTCGATAGAGGACGTATAAGGGCGGCATGTGCTGTTGGCAGATTTGTTTCGAAGGTCCATGGTGAACTGCTCAGCCGGGACATACGTTTTTGGACGATATTCCGAACTTGGTGGAGCTGTTCGTACGCTATCAGGTATTTCGTGAAGAATAGCCTCATAATCCACTTTCCAGATATCGAGCATGTTTATTGCATCCTCGATCCACTTTTGATTGCCTGCCTCCGACTCCAATGCTAGCAAGGTAAATGCCAAAACCTGGCTGGCTGCTGTACGATGCACAAATTTTTGACCTGCTTCTTTTTGTGCTAATACATCATTTCCTGGTTCGACTAAATAATAGTAAATGGTTCCTGGATCATCGAGTCGAATGTGAAGAAAAACAAAGGCTATGCCTGTAGTAATATATGCATATTGCATTCCTGCTTGAATCATATATGAAAATGTCTGTGTTATTGCAGATGCCACTAATCGATCAGCATGGTATTGAAAAAGTTCTGGGTTATCAATGCCCTTAACTTTAGCTGGCGTAGCTGGGGGCGAACTATCGATGACAGATTTAATGTCCATCTCTCGAAGGCCAAAGCGAAGACTAGCAAGATTGAGCTTGTGAGGGGCTTTGTGTTCTACTACAAAAGCAAGATTTCGAAGTGTATTTCCATCCTCCACAGTTGTATAAACACATCTTTGATCAGCTTGTAAACCGCTGAATGAGGGTGTCGAATGATTTGGAGTAACCGGTTCTAAATTTTTAAGTCGTTGAGAAACTTCCACTTCTGTATCACTCAATGTATTAGGATTATTGTCGAAGAAAATCCCATCACCGATGTTAAATTCGCTTCGTACAGAATGGAGAGACTTTAGATGGCCGATAATCAAAGCAACAGGTTCCTCAATGATTTCGCTTTGAATATAGGCAAGATCTCTCTCAGTGGCTATCTTTATTAATGCCACTCTGTCTCCAAGCCCTTTCATAAAGGATGAGCTTCCAAAGCTTCTTTTCTTATTATGATCTGTATATATCAATTGAAGTTGCTCTTGTGTATGTTGTTGGGTCGAAAGAAAATCAATCCATGGACGAAGTCGATTTGGGCGCAATTTGCCCTTTGGACTTGTGACACCTCCTTGAGTTGTGAGAGGTTTTTTGGTTTGAACAGATATTGATCGGAAAATATGGGTATGGCAAAGATCAAGATACTCAGCAAGAGTTGTTTTCTGCTCGTGCTGTTCTGCAATATCAGCTCGTTTTTTAGCATCATCAGCCTGTCGGTTGGCAACTTCAGTTCGTTTTTTAGCATTATCAGTCTATCGCTTGGTAACTTCAGCTCGTTTTTCAGTATTACCAGCCTGTCGCTCAGCAATTTCAAGGGCATGTTTTAAAGTATCATCAAACCGTTGCTTAGCGATTTCAGCTTGTTTTGCAGCATCATCAGCCTGTCGCTCGGCGATTTCACGGTCTTGCTCGGCGATTTCAAGGGCATGTTTTTCAGCATCATGAGCCTGTTGCGTGGCGATTTCACAGTCTCGCTTGGCTTCTTCAACTTCCTCAAGAGCTCTGCGAAGTTGTTCTCGGAGATCTTCTTCGGTTGACATTTTGATTATAGCGAGAACTGTAGAAGGGAAAGACGAAGAGAGCGAGTTTACAGTAGATAAACAAGTGCAGAGTGAAAACAAAGTTGTAAGTGAAAATGTCTGAAAAATCAATTGTTGGAATGAAATGGAAGTAAACAAAAAAGGTAAACAAGAAAAATTGTGGCAACAACCAACCCTTACCCCATCATTATATTAACCAACTTAGGTTAGATCATAATATGGTGGTACCCAATAACAATACCTAGCCAATAAGAGCTTGGTTTTGAGGACCCTGTGGTATTCTGAAATACATTTTGTGTTGACCCAGGTAATATTTGAGGGTCTGGCCTTAGTTTTAGGATCAAATATTGACACAACCTTCCCCTCCCTTAAAGAACCGATCCCCCCTCTACAACAAATTCAAAACCTCTCACTTCACTGCCTACCCACCCACAATCTTTACCTCTCTCCCTCAGGCCCGCAACGCCCTCCATTTCTTCTGGTTCCGCTATTCAATAGCCTTAATTTCTCCACCGATTCCCCCGCGCTCACCGAACGCTTTCATATCTGGTAAATGGAAACCATACAAATTACTCATAAATGGTTATCCGCCTTCCAAGTTCCAAGCCTTCATTCTTGCATACGGCGATTCCTTTTCGGAAGCCGACAAAATAAGTGTTACGATCCTGCAGATACAAAGTCATACTGCATATATATGAATGCGTATACACCGCGCGGAATAATTGACAACCAAATGCTGTGGGATCCATTCCTTTCCATCTTTGAGAAGATTGACATGTTGGCCGAAGATGTCATTTCCAATCCTGTATTTGCCACTACCATTTTTCAATTAGATATGGGTGTCATTAATCCCCTCTATCACGTTGCAGGCGCTTGCCGCCATCCAATCGTAAGGAGGAAAGCGATTGCGTTGTTGGAGCACGTGCCCAATCTCCCGGAATGAAATTGGAATGGAGGCATGACGGCCAGAGTTGCTAGGATGGTCATGAAGCTGGAGGAGTATGGCATAGCTGATGTGCCGGATTGGGCGAGGATTAGTGATGTGGCGCCGAAATTTGAGGAGGGGAGGAGGGTGACATTGAGGTATATGAGGAACGATAGAACAGATGGGCCTTTGGTTAGAAATACATACACACAGAGTTTTTAATGGTAGAGAGATTTGGAGTAGAATAGTCAACGTGGACTGACGTGAAGGTCTCCCTTAAGAAGCAGTTGACAAAAAGTACACCCTTGCTCCAATATACTGTAATTTGGAATATATGTTCATTCCGACCGTCTGTCTTAGACAGTACTCTACATAATCTTTCGTATCCGCGCAACAATTGCAGACCAGGATACCCACATAATCTTTCCCACCCCAGAACGCCATGCTGTGTATTTAATACAAAAGAGGGAAGATTTCGCACATGTATTCATCCGCAGGGTACATTCGTTCAGGGTTCGTTCGAAGTCGTCCATTAACTCAGGGTTATATCAGGATGATCTCGTTCCTTGACCGTCTCGTCGACCCCCAAGCTATCCATCCTATACAACCATCAGCCCCACACCCCAACCATCAACTATCACCGGCTCTTAAAAACCTTCGGTTTCCACCCCTCCTTTAATTCTGCCTCCCTCTCCAAACTTTCCGCCTTAACCCTCATTTCGCCCTCCAACCGCTCCCTCGCCCTCAGCACCTTACTCTGCAAGTAAAAACTCCCTCCATTCTTCGGCTCATTCACATCGAATAGTTTCTTAAACCGCGACATGACATCTTCCATATCCATTTTGCCCTCTTTCGGTGGTTTTACATTGAGGATTTTGCAAGCTTCGTCTAATGTAAGACTGCTCGAGGTGAACGATGGACCACCGCCGGTAGCTGAACCAGATTGTTGCGCTTTTTGGTAGGCCGAAGAGGCTTTGGCTTGTTTCCACGATTCTGATACGGCGCGCCCGAGAACTCGTGAGCCGGTTATGACGACTTGGGTTATTATGCGGTGGGCCTGGATTGGGGTTAGTATGCATGATTTCATATTCAGAGTGAGTTCACCCGATGGCATCATGGTTGTAGGAATTGCACATCAATGAAATATATGGAAGTTTTAATAAAATGTTTATTGTATACATACCATGATGAGGAGATTGCGACCTTCAATAACAGACTCCGGATAATTGAAGCTTGAACTGTGGTGTGAGAAGGGTCCTCACTGTTCACCAGAAGGCGAGAGATAATGTAATTATATCTCCCACTTTTTCCCTTCATGGTTTTCGGAATAATCTTCCACCATCGGCCGCTCCAAAGAAGTTTATTAGAGCCTCAGGCCAAAAACCGTCATCAATCTAGGCTTGTACCTCCAAAAAAGACACCTTAAGACAACCTGGTTAACAAATAAACAAAACAATCACAAATGCATCTCCTATTCCACACCTGTGTCCCAACTCTCTAAATTTTACAACAATCAACCCGCACCATAAACCCACAGCTTCTATCCTCCTCCACCTTCCAAAAAAGATGTCACAATTTTATTCCTCCCCTCCCCCCCACAACCCCTACGGCGCATCCAACACCGCAGCCCAAAACCTCCAATTCTACCCCTCAACCTACACACCCGGTGCCGTATCTGGCCACGCAACACCACAGGCCGCATATGGATATGGGATACCTCCTGCCGCACAAGCATATCCCGGCGGTGCAAGCGGCGGGTTTGGGTTTCCGGGGACTGGTGCCGCGGGCGTGAGTGGACGGATGGGAGAGAGTGGTGGGTTGAGAACGGGGTGGTTCGCTGCTTTTGGCACTGAGGGCTATGATGGGGAACCACCGTTGTTGGAGGAGTTGGGAGTTAATTTTGGTCATATTAGGGATAAGGTATGGTTATTATTCTTTTATTCTTATTTCCACAACTCGTGAAGATGGGGTTTGTATAAAGGATGCCGAAATGCTGACTCGAATCGAACAGACATTGGCAGTACTCAATCCACTTGCGCACATTGATCAACACATAATGGACGATTCCGATCTCGCGGGTCCCATTCTCTTCTTTCTCCTATTCGGGACCTTCCTCCTTTTCTCGGGAAAAGTACATTTCGGATACATATACGGACTGGCACTCCTCGGATCCTCATCTCTTCATCTAATTCTCTCCCTTATGTCACCACCTCTCAACACCGATCCCAACTCCCAACAACCCGTCGGCCCTTCACATCTCTCTTCCACCCTTACATTTCCACGAAGTGCTAGTGTGCTAGGATATTGTTTATTACCATTGGTACTCACGAGTGTAGTGGGGATCATCATGCCAATGGATGGATTGGTCGGATACGTATTAACCACGTTAGCGATTGTGTGGTGTACATATAGTAGCAGCGGGATGTTCTGTGCAGTAGGAAGAATGAAGGGAATGAGAGGGCTAGTAGCATATCCTCTAGCCCTATTCTACGTCGGTTTTGGAATCATGGGAATCTTTTCAAGTAGGGGTGCAGGTACATTAGTGAAGGTAGCGGGAGCTTAAAAGGCACTAGAAGGATTCGAAAAGAAGATTTCAGTATATGCGGAGGCGCGTGGGATCTGTAGGGAGGGGAGTCGCGGTTTACAAATGGCGTGGTATGGATGTGTTCAGTGGTAATTTATATGGTACATGGTATGGAAGGGAATGGGTGGGTGGGTCAGACGGATGGCATGGTATGGCATGGCATGGTTTGGGTTTTGGGATCTGTAAGAATAGATTCTACTTTACTTGTACAGCGTAACTCAAAGCACTCATTTGAGAGCCAAAAACTTAGGAGTGGGCAAATTAAGCGAGTAGGAGAATAGATAAAGAGTCAAAAAAAATTAGACACCAACATCTAAATGTTGTGTGTGCAACTTTCTTTAAGATAATTTCGCACGTTTTCAGAATCTTTAAATCGATTGGGCCCAAAATTAATACATTCACACGCTATGGTATAATACCTCCTTAAGCCCCTTGAGAAATCAGAGTTCCCCTTCCTGATGCCAATCCCAGTCCCCTATTTACTCCAAAGTCCATCCCAAAACGCCCACCAACCATCTACTCCAACCCCATCCTGGCATCATCACTAATCCCCCAATCAGTTGTGCTCGGTCTCGTAAATGGCCTCTCATCATCCTCATCCGATTGCAGACTCATACTACTCTTCCTACTCCCCTTGCCCAGCTTTTCCTTCTTCAAACTGCTTTTCTTGCTACTGAATCGTGAACTTCTATTACTCTTCAGGCTAGAATCGTCACGATCCGAGTATTCTGGAGGTGGACTCCTCGATCTGGAAGCTGAGACTGAAGAGAGTCGTGTGTGAGCAGAGTTTGAATCGAGACTTGGGGATGCTTGAGTAGGGGTTGGCGACGGCGTTATTTCGGTACTAGATGTTATTTCGACGAGCTCAGCGTCACGGTACCATTTTCTGCGGCGGGTATATCTTCCCCATCCGTCTTGGCCACGACGTCCATTTTGCCACTGAAATGAGTTAGCTTTATGTGTATGGGATGAGTTGGGAAAGTGTCAATAATGCATACTTTGTTGTCATAATATATCCACCCTGTTCCTCCATCGCTCTCGGCCTTTGGTTTCGATCCACCCTCGTCTTGTTCGGCGGCCCCTTCAACACGCCAGCGACTACCTTCTACCCATCTCCATCTCGCGCCACCACCCTCTACATCTGGCAGTTCAAAATCTTCTCTCGGAGGAACAGCATTGAGGTGTTCGTCTGTCCACGCAGATCTTTCATATGCAAAAAGTGAAGTTGTCCAGCCTAGTCCAACCCATCTACGTTGATTTTCATATAAAATGAATGTGAATTTTACCCCTGGTGCTTCCGGTCTCCTTTTTGTGGCTGCATTTGCTGCAAGCGATGCATCTGCGTATGAAGAATCTGTGCGGGGTGGTAGAGGAGGTTTACCATTGGTCCCATTTACAGTCGGGAATAGCTCATCTGTCAAATGTAGGCCAGTCATGACAGTACATGTGCGACGAACGAGAGATGATCTCCATAATATCGTTCTGGCTATTCGATTCGGTCGTGAATGCCAAGTCAAGAAAATTGTCCCCGTTACTAAAGCGATTCGTTTTGTGGTGATGACTTGTAGAGGAGGGAGGGTCAAGATTATCCATATGGGTGTGACAAGAAGGATTCGGATCAAAAGTGTGGTAAGTGCTGGTCGAGTCGTAGCAGAAGTTGCTGTTCTTTGAGTCGATAGGAAATCCGTCAATTGTAATAGGGGATCCAAAAGTACATTGCATCTTGATGTAAATATCTTCAAAGTCTCTACAATTTCGTCCAACGTCTTCTGGTGCTTAGTATTCGTAATCTCCGAGTCGACTCTTTTGTGGCCCTTTTTTTGCTTCTCTCCCGTCCAGGTTGTTGATGATAAAGGGGAATATCGTCTCGAGTACATTCCCAGTATTAAACCAATAACCACCACCAAAGGTCCAGCAAATCGCATTACAACATCCCCATATAGAACAAATGCCCAAAAACTAGCCACGAGCAGGAAGCTCTCCCAAGGATCTCCACTCGTCCATGTTATTAATCCTGTAAGCTTGTTGAGAGGCAACAGGAAAGGATGCGAATATGCTAAAGCTCTCGTGATCTGCGGAGGGGTCGCTAGTAACAAGGGGGACTTCTGATGAACGAGTATAGTAGACCTCTGTTTGTTGGCAGATGAGGCATGGGATAGAGTGACTGGAGAGAATGCAGCTATTGTCGGGGGGTTCGGATCAGTAGGAGTTAAGGATCCGCCATGGTCATCTTTTCTTGAACTTGGAGTACCAGACATTTGATCCAACCAAGGAGTATCCTATTGATCTAATTAGCGTTGCTGAAGAAATCAAGGGATATAATGATGGTTAGGAAGAGTTAAGCATGGGGGCCGAAATTGGTGACATACAAACGCAGCCATTTATTTACAACGTCATTGCTAATAATTATAACAGGCTTTCAAATGTTACAACAGGAATATGTTAAAACTTCCGGAAAAGGAAATATCGATGTAATTAAACTATAATACCTGCAACAATGATGGTAGAGTGAATAGTTGGAAAAGGCAGAGTAGGAAAGTGATTGAAAGGTGATTGAAAGACAGATAGATGACTTACTCATACAATGGAACAACGAAAAGGAATGAAGCACCTGGCTGCTGGCTCGGCATAAAATCTGGGGTACAGGACAATCACATGTCACAATCACATGTCACAGCCACAGATATGAATTGTCAATCAATGAAGTGTCCAACCCTTTTGCCCTTTTGGTGTATGTTTACAGTAGAATACCTAAGTAGGTAGGTTGTGTATGAGAAGAAGTTGAGGACTGTCTTAAATTAAGTGTGAATCTACTAGGTATGTCATTAAGTTCATGTGCAAAAACATCAATAAAATCCAAAGTGTCTTCTAGAGTAGGTAATAATTATTAATTATTTCAATTCTGCCATCTCACTATTAGTTCTTGGCCTGGGGCGGGGGCGGGGCGGGATGGGGATGGGATGGGAGGGATGGCCAGTGAATATCAATCGGTACCGGACCGATTTTCCACGCCGCATTACCTAATCTCGTGCTTCAATCATAAACGCCCCAGCCGACCTTTGAAACTTCTTTCCACAAACAATTCAACCGCAACCCCTCAACCCTCACTCAACCTTTCAATTTTTGACAAGATATTAAATTTAATCCAAAATGTCGCGTCAACCACCCCTTCCCAATGGACTTCCTCCCCGACCTTCTGGATCTTTCCAAGATAGGGACAGAGATGATAGAAATCATACTCACAATTACAATACACGTAATAACTATCGTCGCGACACGGGTGGAGATAATTATCGTCCTTCACCTCGACAATCCGACAGTCATGTCCCCCGCAGTGCAAATCGCGATCGCGATCGCGAAATGTATCAATTCGGTGGTCACAATGCTCCTCCACCAGCCTATGGAAATTATGCTCCTGGTGTTCAACCTCCTCGTCGTCCTGCTGCAGCTGGAGATCCCTACCGTATGAATGATGGTTATCGCGCTCCACCCCCAGCCCCGAATTTCGATTTCCGTTACGATGCACCACAATCTATCGATTTCGAAAACGCCGGTAGATATCAGCCTCGCACCGAAGCTCGTACCAATAATCTTACCGGAAATTCAGATCGGAATCAACCACAAGATTTTCGTAAGGCTCGACGCGACAATCCTCGTGGGCGTGGTGGTTACCGTGGTCGAAACGGTCCAAGATTGGCATCAGATCGAGTTTTCTTGAAAGGAAAACGCTCACCTACTCCTGAGCTCATGCCAGGTATGAATGAAGATGCTACTACTGATGCTAAATATAGAGACGTCGGCGACTTATCCGACAGCGATGAAGCTGAAATGGATATGTCCGATGACGACGACAATAACGATCAACCTAAGAAGAAGATGGCTCGAACTGGTGCAAAGGCTGCAGATGGTGACAGTGCTCCTAAGTGGTCGAACCCTGATCCCTACACGGCCCTTCCACCACCAGGCGAATCTGACCGAAAGAAAAAGGACGTCGTTAAGCTTATTCGGAAAGCTCGTGTTACATCTGGTGCAGAAGGTCCTGCCAAAACTGATGCCGATCAGGACGACTTCATCTCTTTTGATTTCAGTGGTGCCGGAGATATTGATGGCGAAGAGGATGAATACGAGCCCCAGCCCTTCAAGCAGCCTGAATCAGGTTCAATTAAATCTTTCAGTCACCTTGAAAACATTCGACAATTTGGCACTTCTCAACAACCACAAAGCTACGTTCAGGAGACTAAAGAAGTTGCCACTCAACCAAAGAGCTACAACGCCATGCCCATGGATGTTAATCAAACTCCAAAGAGAGATTCCAAGCCATTGGATCTATCAACTGATCCCGCTCTAGGTAGCAGGAAGCGTACCGCTAACGATGTGATCAAGCCCCCACCACCTGTGAGTAAGCTCATCCCTGGTAAACCTCCCCGATCCAAAGGTGTCCTGCTTGCACAATGGCGCGTTGAGCCTGGTCTGAACGACGCTCCTTGGCTTCAGGACCATTCTGATACCTCCAATATGGGATTCTGGTAAGTGATAGATTGATCCATTGACAAACACCATTCCCAAGCTAATACTGGTTTCAAGGCTACATAAAGAGATCATGGACTTTTACCATTATGTAAAACCCCGCAAGTTTGAACATGTAATTCGGAAAAAGTTACTTGTCGATTTAAAGGAAACCTTTCGCAAAAGCTTTCACGATTCTGATATCCTAGCTTTCGGCTCTTTCCCCGCAGGTCTATATCTCCCTACCGCTGATATGGATGTCGTTATGGTGTCAGACGAGTATATGAATGGCGGATACCCTAAATACCACAACAAAAATAGCATCTGGCGAGTTAAAAGTTTTGTTGAAAAGGAACGTCTCAATATTGGCAGAATCGAGGTGATCGTTGGTGCGAAAGTGCCTCTCGCAAAATGGGTCGATGCTATCACAGGGTTAAAGGTCGATATGTCATTTGAAAATGAGACAGGCCTCATCGCAAACGACACTTTCCAAGAATGGAAGGATCAGTTTCCTGCAATGCCAATATTGGTTACCATCATCAAGCATTTATTGGCAATGAGAGGTCTGAATGAGCCAGTTAATGGTGGCATAGGCGGATTTTCTATTACCTGTCTTGTCGTAAGTCTTCTACAGAACCTACCACAGATCAAGAGTGCAACTATGATACCAGAACATCATCTCGGCGAGGTCTTGATGGAGTTCCTCGACCTGTACGGTAATGAGTTTAACACGCGTACTACTGCCATTTCGGTGAACCCGCCTAAACTTTTCCCCAAAGTGAGCAATTCTTCTGATCAACTTTTATTGTAAGACTAATTCATTACCAGTCTGAGGCTCGCGATCTCGTCTACAAAGATCTTTCTAAGCCAAAGTTCTCAATAGTTGACCCAAACAGAGCCGATAACGATATCGCAGGTGGTTCATCAAATACTCCTGCGATTCAAGATTGCTTTTCTGCTGCCTATTCTGCTTTACAACAGAGCATGAACACGTTGCAAAACTCTGATCTTAAGACTCGCCGAAATCAAAGTCTCCTTCGGTGTGTTATTGGTGGAAACTATGAATCCTTCCGGCTTCAACGAGAACACCTTGCCCACATACATGAAAGATTGGTTGGTCCAATTGAAGACGAGTGATTTACAATTTGCTCGATATTCAGCGCTAGAGCCATGTAACACTTGATTCATATCTTGGTACAGTTTTTACGTCGCTGAGTATGCAGTATGAATGAGTGGTTATCTTCTTATCAAAGGCGTATGGACAGAATCGATCAAGATACCCAGTTGGCGTTCAATGGACGGGAAGTCATTGACTTGTAAAATAGCTTCGCAGAGTTTCCTTGCTTTCCTTGCTTTTGATTTTTTGGTCTTTGGGATCCTGGGTTGAAGTGGTTTCGATGCTTGCCTCAACTGACGTTCATCTAGATGATCGACACGAAAGTCAAAGTCAATGCCATCGATAATCAATGAAGACAGACAGACGAGGCGCTATCGATCACTACAAAAATGATACGAATACATAACCTTACGCGAAAATACAAATCTTTTTATTTCATGCTGTACCCAAACATTACTGACATACTGACATGCTAACTCGGTAGAGAAACTAATCATTGGTACGGTGCACTAATTTGGGTCTTAGGAATTCCCTTCCAGGTAAGGAGGATGAAACAAAAAATTACAATCCTGTAGGCGATCTTAATTAAACCTTTTTTGGTTCAGTCAAGATTACACAACGGCTTGGATCTTTCTCTTTTTCGGCAACCCTTTCTCACTGTAGTCGTGCTTTATGTGCGCTATGGAGAGGAATCTTGGGGTGAAGAAAGTCATGATGTTGGGAGTTGAAAAGCTAGGCTAGTCAAGAAAGGTCTCGGCTTGGATAACATCAATATCTATATGTCAGCCAAACGAGTGCATACTTTGTATATGATCCGAATAAATAAGAAATAAGTAAGTCACTCTTAACTTTTTATAATATGTACTCGAGTAGTCATTTTTCGATGATCAACTTCAGATGGTGGGGAATGGGGGGATGATCTGCAGGTGGATTGCGTGTGTAAGTAAGTGCATGTTCATTCATTGATGGGGGGGGGGAGATATCTTTAGTGAGTTGAGTTGAGTGAAGTGAGATGAGATGAGATGAGATGAGGTGTTAATTTTGGCTATGTGGTTTAGACAGGAGATGGGGAAGAGCAGAGAAGAGAAGAGGAATTAAGAACAGAGAGTAAGAAGGAACAGCTTGAAAACCTTCAGATACACATCAAACTTCCTTGCTAAATAAAACACACTCAGGCTATTCTACAATCCAACTCTTCCTTTGTATGATTTATTTTCTGTTTCGTTATCACTTCTTTACCATTGCTAAAGCTCCTTCTACAGTACCGAGTAGATTGGTCGTTGATTACCTCGATTTATCTTCAAGGCTCATTTCTTCTATCCCTATATTTGATTTGATGGAAGTTTCAATCTACTTTCCTTTTTTATATTACGAATGGATCGCTTTATTTCTTTGCTCGATTTTTCTTGCTGGGATATATAATGATTCTGGCGTGCGATGTTTATACCTCGAGTCTAAACATCTCTCAACGTGTTATGATGTAAATAATGTCTGCATTGAAAAGGCCCTACTCGTTTCCACTTGGTTTGATCGTTATTTATAGATGTCTGTAGATATGGACTTCAAATTTCGATGTTGCCCATTGCCATATGTTATTCGCTAACTGATCTCCTTTTGTTATATAACATTATGCTCCTCAATTCCCCTGGTCCCAGTTTATCTTCAAGGATGTAATGGCCCTCCAAGCGTCAATGGCATAATATCAATGAATGTGAGATTTAAGTCATCATTGGACGTTTATCTCAAGTAAAGCAGATAGAGTGGCAGAAAATTCAAGTTGGTGATTGAAGTTAGAGTTGAAAGACATGGAAGCCCATGAGCTTTCTCGAATACCTATTCATTCATGAAATTTTGTCCTATGTTATTATCTCCCTAGGAGCTGGAGGCTTCTTTGATACCTCATACTAGTCACTTTACAACATAAATATACCCATCACAAACACTATTTTCAATCCCAAACACCGACCAGATCTACAACCCCGAAGCGAAACCCCTATCCATGATCCTCGCGAAATTCACGCGCCTCCCCATCCCACCCCTCACAATCGAGTCGATCCCCAGCAACGACTACCAACCATGGCACGAAGCGCTACGCGTCAAATACGACCACTCCGCCTCCAAACAATGGGCGAATCTCTCCAGCGACATCGTCTCCTCTATGCGAAACCACCATCGCGATTACCAGTATTGGAACTACAAGATTTGCAAAGTCGAGATCATGTGGAGATTGGGACGGACCGAGAACTGGGTTTCGCGGGTTTTGTATGAGTTTGATGCCGATGTCGAGTATTTGGAGGTGCATGAGGGGCAGCATGAGAGGATTGTTACGGCGTTGACGTTACAGGTACGTGAGGGGTCCAAAAAAGAAATTAAAGATTTAATAAATAACGTAGGATCGTAATTCGAGGGATTGGATGCATGTTACTTATCAGGCCGGGGAGTCGAGTAATGGGCAGTTGGGGAATGTGTCGTTTATGGTGATGGGGTAGGAAGGAGATGATTGGTTTCTGGTGTCTTATTTCTTCTTCTAAGATCATCTCATTGGTCGGCCTCCCTTGGTATTGGGGATAGGATGAGATGTTTCATACGCTGGGAATGAGACGAGTAGAAGTGGGAAGGACGTAGGATTTTACGCATGAGTTAGAAAGTGAACATCACGAATATGCAAATGTGAATCACCAATGAGATTCTTTATGAGCAAATGAATCAAACATAGAAAAGTTTATGCAATCAGTGCCGGTGTACAGAGTAGTGCCTCTATTGGTAAGAAGGGTTTTCTCGGTCAGAGCGAGAGGAATAATCCAGTTGAATGTAGGCGGTAGAGCAGAGTATCCCGTGGGACCCGAAGAGAGTCCAGGCAGTACCGAAGACATCCAAATTTGCATACACATTGCACCTTTCACAGCTTGCAAATAATGGGAAAAACACTTCCTATCACATACAAATTCACATGTCACACCAATCCTTCACCAAAAGCACAGAAGCGATTAAATCAGAGCCACTCTTCATTTTATATTCGCCATCCAATACAAGCATCCCTAAAACCTAATGAATCGACACCAGATATGCAAATCTTTGGCCGTAAGACATACATATACAAACACAGTTTTCTAGTAGCTGTAAACCCTATTATGCATAGGGTTATTCAAGGCACAAGTTCCCACATCCTAGAGGCACATCTCGCTATAAAGTTTGCTCTGGCTAATCACTCGATCATCTAACTCACATCCTCTATATCAAAAACTTTCTCGAGATATCAACTTACTATCTTGAGCTTGAAACACTTTTTCACCGTATCATCCATCATGCTTCTGATCTACTCGAGTAGTCAGGTGTGCAAAGAGTACAACTCCACGTTTAGCGAACTATAAAGTTGTCGAGTTACAACTTTTTGGCTTTCTGGTCGACCCCTCAGGAGGTATTATCTGAAAAGCGTCCTCGACACTGCATTTCGTAGACCATTTGAGAATATCAGTAAAGGAAGGATATGGCAAGTTGAGATGACATGGGAGATTGAAAGGCGGCGCTCTTCCATGGAGACCGATTCCATGGGTAGCTTTGCGCATCAGCTACTTTGTTCCGAAGTAGAGTATCGATTGGATTAGCTTTGTGATGTCGAGTTGTCAGGACTCAGGATGTGGCGAAAGCTTTGAGGTTCATGCCAGAGTGGTTCAGAGGAATCGTGCGGACTGTGTTTGTGTTGGTCATCATGGCTTTTTGTTTGGGAGAGAGGAAGGACAATGTTATCAAAATGAATAAGGGATCGGCGGAAGGCAAAGTCGGCGAGTTAAACAATGACAATTGAAAGAAGTCAGTATGGTCTTTTTACATCGTAATAATGCCTCATACAAACTTTGCTCTTTTGGCTCCCTGTATTATGTATGTGTCTTTGACATAGCTGAATGCTTCAAATAAAAAACAACAATGGTGTGTCTTCTAATGTGTGCAGTAGCTTTCAAATGCAGGAGAAAAACGGTCTGAAAGCAACTCTAAACGATCTTTCATATCAAGATTGATAGTGGTATATAAGACTTCCTTCCTCCCTCGCATCATTGCCCATTTATAGACCACACATCTCAAAAAAAAAGTAGTCTCAGATAGCCTGACTTTACATCCATCCAGCATGGCAACCACAATGAAACTACTTGTTAAATTCACAGAAGACGCACAAAATCACGACAAATCATGGTTTCAAGCCATCGAATTTTACCTCACCAACAACGATCAAGACCAATGTGCATTCCTTCGGAGAGCGCTCCTCAGAGCTATTGATGATGCGGTGGTGAGCGAACATTTTTCTATGATTAATATTCATGTTTTGTGGGATATTGGTGAGGATCAGCCAGCCACGCAAGATCTTCGGTGCTCTTCGCTTTTTGCAATTCCAAGACTACTGAGCCATGATCAGATGTATCGGAATTTGGCGATAGCTTTGAGGTTTATAAGAGAGAGGTGTTGCTCGGATTATTTGCGAGTTGAATACAGCCGTGTTGAAGAGGGTGCTGGTGCTAGTGGATAATACGGTATTTAGAGGAAGAGGGAGATGGGGATGGGGATGGGGATAGAGATGAAGCGTTTGGAGAGAGAGTATTCTAAGGGAGTAGAGGAGAGCTCTTGCGATATGCCCTAGCCCCATCCGAATCAAAATGAAAAGCTTCCCATGACTGAGAAATGATGCAACAAAATTATACTCTGACCATCTGAGGTTAGAACTCCAAGAGCAGAGATTTCAAAGAGTCCAGACCATAGCCCATGGCCGAAAGCCTTCAATATATGACCATGGAAAGCTGTGAACCTTTGGATATCGCTCAGCCTCAATGTTTCAAAAAGATTTAGAATCTCAAATATAAGATTTGAAATCATCAATATTATAGTTAAAAGCAGTGTCCCAACAGAACTTGGAAGCTAAGAATCTCTGGTTGAGATAACTACCAAAGTAGGCCAGAAAACACCAAGATGGTGTTGACAGGACTTCCTTCCACGAACGAACATCATGCCCTCCATGTGGGACAATTAATTTTCCATTGAAATTTCTCAGACGCAAATGATAGTTTTCTTTCTTTGTTTGGCCATTAAGAGCAAAAGAAGTGTACCTCTCTACCTCCAAACCAAACTTCTGATTTTCAAGAAAGGATTCGGCCTAAGATCATGATCAACAAGCATTAGCTTACGTGACGTGACTACTATCGTACATGCTGTGACAAGTCAAATTTAGCCTATCGATTCCTACTCGTAGAATGAAGATGGCAACTACGCCAAAGACCGAAATCCTGGTTTGACTTAGCAATAACGAGTTCTTCGATAACAAAATAAATCACGCAGATAGTTTTGTTTTTTCGTTGAAGTTAGCGAAAGAAAAGATATTAGTCTCGAAATCACAGAAAACGGTTATGCTGATTCCCGCCTCGTCTTCATTGCTTACCTAGTATTCTAGAGCCTGATGATGTGGTTGGTACTGTAGCTTCCGGGTTGGCCGTTCGGATCCTGATGGCAGCCCCTATGTATGCATGCTATACACCCGAACTTGTTTCATGCAGGTTGTATATAGGTAACCTTGTAGCCGCTAGCCGCTTTTCCACTTTTCACTTTCCACTTTCTATTCTCTTCATGTCCATGTCCTATTTCCCTCATCTCTCCACATATTGTAGTGAAGATTTTAGATACAAACAACGAACTCCGAAACAAGAATCCCAAAACTCAACGAATCCATCCATCCATCCAAATTCCTCCAACATTGATCTACCAACCTCACCCATCCTCACCATCATAATTTCTCTGCCAACGAACCTCAAGATAGCCAAGAAATCGAAATCACACCTCAAAAAAAAAAAAAAAAGCAGAGCACCTTGACTCTGCACACCAAACCAAACTAGTCAACAAGTCAACCAGTCTGGTGAAATGGCCAAGATAATTTACTGCCAGCATTGTGATCGTGTAACGCATCGGTGGGCTAATAGGTGTCACGTATGCATTTCTCCCCTGGAGAACCCTGGAAAGAGTCCCGAGCGAATGATCGCTCGGTCAATTGGAAGCATTCTTGGGAAGCAATAGAGCTTAAATTGTCTGTTGGATAAACCAGTTTCTCAAGAATGATTCGAAAGGTTCCTAGACAGACTTGTCAAGAGTGACTTTTGATATCCGATCTCTCGAAAGCAGTCTAGAAGCTCCTTTATACCCAAATCTTTGCTGATCCCATTTCAACTGTTTGAGGCTTGTTTTGTTGAAATCGCTGTACTTAAGAAATGAATGGGCAGTGAAGAGAGCCAGCGAACTCGTCAACTAATTACATCTTTGTAGTGCTGATAACCTCCAACAAAAGCTCCAACACTTGTCTCTAAATCACTCACTCACTAGTCATCTGAAAGGTGGAGTATCAAACGAAAATAAAATGTACTTTAATTCATTCCTATTTACACAGACCGCATTAGCAGTAACCGCTCCAAACACCACAACCCGCTGCTGAAAAGTTGTCTCATCATATCCCCAAATTGATATCATTTGCCAAGGACTTCTTAAAAAGCCATCTCCTTCTTGATTTGTGCAATCGCTAAACCTGGATTCAAACCCTTCGGGCATGTTCTCGAGCAATTGAGAATTGTGTGACATCTGTACAAACTCATGTTGTTGTCCAAAGCAGCCTTACGCTCTTCCTTCTTCTGATCACGGGAATCCGCGAGCCACCTGTAACTTTGCAACAAAATGGCTGGTCCCAAGTACTCTTCGCTATTCCACCAGTAGGAGGGGCAAGATGTCGAGCAACATGCGCATAGAATACATTCATAAAGTCCATCAAGCTTCTTACGTTCCTCCTTGGATTGCAAGTACTCTTTTCCACCTGGTGCTGGGTCGGTGTGTTGAAGGTATGGCTTAATCGACTTGTATTGCTTATAAAATTGTGTCAAATCAGGAACAATATCCTTGACGACATAGGTGTGGGGTAGTGGGTAGATCTTCGTTTCGTGCTTGGCGTCTCTGGGAATGCGGCCTATAGAACAAATAGTCAGCAGATATACTTTGATGCCAATTGGATGATCAACATACACAAACAAGCCAATGTGTTTACTCCGTCAATGTTCATTGCACAGCTACCACAGATACCCTCTCGGCAAGATCTTCGGAATGTAAGGGTAGGGTCGACCTCGTTCTTGATTCTAATAAGTGCATCCAACATCATAGGTCCAGTCTTATTGAGATCCAAAGTGTATGCTTGCATGCGGGGCTTGCTAGTTGGCTCATCTGGATTCCATCGGTAAATGTTGAATGTCTTGATCAAAGACTGGGAATCGGCAGCGGGTTCCTTGATAGTTGATGTTGTGGAAGCAGGTTCGACAGGACGAGATGGAGACGATATAGGATTATCAACTGAAGCCATAGAACGCATCTGGGTTCTGAAAGCCGGTCGCGAGGCGGCAAATATCGCGCGTGCACTGCGGGCACTGGTGCGAAGAGATGCCATGGTGGGTGTGAGTGGAGTTTGAGTTGGAGATGGAATTGGGAGTTGAAATTGGAATTTTAGAATCAATTGAATGACTTGAGTAGGTTCGAAATGTAGGTGAGTGTTTATTAAGAATTTGTATGTATCAATCAATAGTAAGGTGAAAGGAGCCCTTGTTGTTTGATATATCAACGGATTAAGATAAATTACATTAAGAAGTTGTGGAGAAGGCGAAACTGTTCTTGAACCGAAGTACCGACAAAATCGCTTACCTCACCAAATCAACCAATCAGAGATTGTTTTATTCAAATCAACAAACGGGAAAAAGCGGGTGGAGGTTATTCCCGTACCGTACAAACTTGTAGCCGGGTCCTAGTGATTTATTTGTATTTATGTATTCAACAGAAAATCAATACAACAAGACCAAATAATAATAATCATCATAATATATGGGCAATCAATTCATGTGGTCATGATCAAAGTCATAGTCATGGTTATGGTCGAATCTCACTACCTATGTTAGATACTCTATACCGATATATCATTGTTGCAGTACATTGATTGTTTGAACATGTCGACGATGATGTTGTAGTCAAAGAAGACTACAGAGATACCGGTGGGGTTATGTCATACAGTTATTTCATCCCATCTGATCGAGTGTGAATGGAGAATACAATTGGGGCTGCTTGAGAATGTTGAATTGGGTCCGGGTTTATCGTATTCGGAAAATGGACGAAATGACATAGTGGTAGGTCAATGTGCACTGCTCGCGGACTCAGAGGATATTGGCCAGGCATAATCAAGACAAAACCCCATTTTCAATACTCGCCACTTGCTAAGGATGAGATCCGACTCATCACCGTCTTACTGGTTGGTATATTACCTACCGATCGAAGCCAGCCAAACGAGTTATGGTTCTCATCACAAAACCTTATTTCTGCAATACTCTCCACGGTGACATCATGATTACTCACACATATGAATATCAATCAATTCTAAGTTATTTGCCGATTGGTCCGAGGGTTCTCAATGGCACGAATACACTCAGAGAAATGGCATGCCCTCTGCCATTTGTTTCAAGGGCGTAACGGCGTGGTGGAAATGCATATGGTATGCGCGAAATATGATCGCCGCCCCGCAAGTGATGTAGGTCTTCCTGTGGTGGCATGAAAGCTCAAAAATTGTTCACGTGTCTGGCTCTTTGAGTACCGGTAGAACATCAAGTGATGCATCTACCATTGCCAAGGAAATCGAACGAATTGTCCACACATCTTTCATCAGTGCCATATTTGATACTTGAAATTTCGAAGCATGACCTTTACTTGTCTGGGTTGTGTACATATGAATTCAGACTCGGGCTCCTAAGACTCATCTTCGTCAGCAATATAGATCAGTGCGTCGCCTCTGCAATGTCTCGACATGACAGGACTTGCGTTGTCTTTAGGCGCCTTGAGATGCAATCTCAGCAATGCGAAGTTTCGGACGAGACGGATAGAGGATTGCCCCTTGGCCTAATCATTCGTTGCCATTAAGGAATATCTAAAACATCTCATGAATACCAAATTAAAACAGACTTGGTCTTGATCTTGTGAGCCTATTCGGTCTCTCGGTGCATCCTCAGAAGTTAAACCTTTCTTTGCCGGCTTGGACGCCTGCAATGCATACACCATCCCTTCAGAAACTGCATAATCGTTTGAAATTACTATCTTCATGGTAGTATGCAAGAGGAAGCTACGGAGAGCATCATTGGACGGCGCATTTCGAATTGTCGATACATGATGGCTCTTTTCCTTCGAGAATATCAAGAGCTGTTCGAACAGATTTAAGGGATGTTCGACGACAAATGATCTGACACTCCGTAACCTATGGTCAAGGAAGTGTGGTTGACAAGATATCATTCTTTGCGTGTCACGGATTGTTTTTATCGTGAAGAGGAATTTGGGTCATGACCATGGGCCCTTACCTGTCCCTCTCAACCCTAATACTATCATAGACAGCAGCCTAAGTACCATTCCAAGTATGTATAATTCAGACCAAGATCTTTGGGGGAAGGCAATCTCCCCCGGGCACAGGATTTTGTGTGGCTGCAAATACCTTCCTGTTTGAAAGGAGCATCAATCAAGCCGAAAGCCTCAATGGCCATTATCTGCTCGGATTCGCTAGTCTCCAGTCGAAGGTAAGCAATGTTTGTAAGTATCAAAATCACTCTTGGGCCTTACCTTCTTCTCAAAGTACGAATGCATCATACTTAAGCATGTGAGACTGATTGAGATGCCTATCATAATCGACTTGGCATCGAATATCAATATATCTGCACATAGCAAGCACGAAAGTGGCATTTCCCCAGTAGTTTATAATTACTCCAACAGAAATAAGTAAGTCTGACAATCTGACGATAAGTTTAATCTCAAAATACTCGTCAAACTGACCAGTACCCCAATTCAAGAAACAGTACTCAGCCCTAGGATTGGCCTTGGCCAGATTTCATGTCAGCTGATGTTACATCTGGATCCAAAAGGAGATACACACCAGAAGCAGCGAACGTGATTTTTCCAGGAACATCATCCTCATCCTTTGAGATGACACCCAGTAAGATTTGAAAATGTCAAACTTACATCAACGGCACGCGAAACACGTTCAGAGAGTTGCTCTACTGTTAGAACCATGTTTAGCAGGATCACGTCTCCCGTTATTTTAGGAGCGCACAATCTTGCTACTCCTCCCCATACACCGAGCCGAGCCACCATACTTAGCATGCATGGAAACTTGTTCGTAAGCTCCTCTTGAGCTGGCTATCTGCCAGAGACTCTGCCAGTACTTTACGTTTAGTCGCATCTCTATATATTCTGGGAGAGTCCCACCTGGAGACATTTTTCTTGCATCGTCATATATAAATCTTCTGCATTCCTGGTTTTGATAGATTTTTGAAAGCTCTACAGCTCATTCCATTCATTTCAGGCTTAGTCCTACCCACATTCATTTAAGCTCCAAGATCCATACATAAATTTGCAAAAATGCATTACTCCTACGCTTTGTCAGCTCTCGCTGCCTTCGCCTCGGCGGCATCTGCTTCACTTACAATCAACAACTGGTCAGTTTCTGTCAACTTGAACATCTTTGAAAACTTGCTAATACGACTTCTAGGTGCGCCAAAGAAGTCTACATCTACAAGTCAAATAATGGAGGCTGTAATGTCGGTTCCAATGGAGCATGTTCCACCGCTTCCAATGCCACCCCTTGGCACATCAAAGCTGGCCACGGATCCAGCAGTCTTCTAACCCTTCCATGGGACAAAGATGGCCACGGCACATCACTAAAGGTAGCCACAACCTCCAACTGGAAAACCACACCTTCAGTCTTGCAATTCGAATATGCATGGACTACTGGCAAATATGCTGCCCTCTACTGGGATCTCAGTGATTTGGATGGCTCTGGAAGTGGATTGGTGGGCACTCCTTTCATGAGCGACAACGTGAAAGTCACTCCGACGGGCACGGGTAGTGGATCAGGAACGTGCGTGAAGTTGAAGTGTCCCGCTGGTGCACTCTGCAAGGACGCGTATAATACTCCGGATCAAACTGCTACTCGTTCCTGCCCGTTGACTACCGGTACCATGTGGTTGGATTTGTGTGAGCCGGCGGGCGCCTTCAATACCAAGAGAGAAATTCGCTTCGAGGCATAGAGGTTGTTGATGAAGAACCGAGAGTTTGGGGGATTATATGGTCATGCTTATGGTCGTGCTGGGATAGGAGAAATTCTGTCTGGTTGCTGGAGTTTCTTTTTATATTTTTGTTATGTTTTTTAAGCGGAGGATGTACAGGTACGATTGTACAGTATCAACTGGGGGCTACTTACTCTGTCTTATATATTCCATGTACTCGAGTACACTTACATTACATTCCTATACCACGGGGGCGTTCAGGGAGTAAAGCAAGGCAAATGATACCCTTTCTTTGTTTTGAATCACATCCATTTCGTCCATATTATCCAATTCATCTCAAATTTTGTTGAATCCTTCCTGCTGTAACCTTAAGTTCCTAACTGGAAAGAAAGCCAATCAAAAATTTGTAGATTCCTCAAATAACG